AAATGCAACGTGGCATGTGTATATGACGAACCTAAAACTGGAGCTCTTATGTGGTGAATCGTAATCACGGTACCACATTTGTATGTGAAGACAAATTAGTATACCAGCAGAACCTGGGAAAAAGTTTTTGTTCTGTAAAAATAATAAATGTGTCAGCTGTACGCCGTAACGGCGCTTCGCTGCCGCGCGACCACCACCAGTCGCGCGCGGGCTGAGTATACCGCGAGGACGTCCACCCCTATGCGGATTCGAACCGGTGACCTTATGATTGCAAGCCAGGCATGCAGACCACTCGGTCACCGGCCGACACAAACTTCTGTACTCACATATGCGAGTAGCCTCCGGAATGTGAAGCGTCATGTTCCCCCACTTCCCTCAGCAAATGGATGTGCGCAGACTACCGAGGATGCAGCCAAAGTTCTACGGCTGCAATATACTTCAATATTTTGATGCGCCACCAGAATATGTCACATATCTGTCCCATTCCCCGAGACGCCAATATTCACACACGTCACTTTTAGTTTAGCGGCGGTTTTGAGGAAGCTGATATCGTTACGCACCCATAGTTCCCCAGGTGCTGACAACATTCCCCCAAAACGGATACACATGTGCGTTGACGAACATAACTTGACTTACAGTTTATTTGCATTTGATACTGGTGTGAGTCTAAATTTTCTGACTCTCCACATTTTGTATTTTCACCTTGATCATCCTGCGAGACCTGTAAAGCTTCAGCATTTTTACCCGTATAGAACCACTGTTCCATACACAATTATATGTATATATGCACAACTACACATACATACACTGTTATGGTAAACATGTATTTTTGTACATAGTTGATCACGCTTTGTTCTCTTTACCTGATCATGCCTGTAAAGGCATACCTCATTGTGTCGAGAATAAAAAAATTTGTTATTTAATTTAGCGTACTTACTGTTGATGTATGGCGTCCTCATATATATACATATATATATATATATATATGTATATGTATATATATAGAACCCGGACAAGAGTACAATTGGCGGTGTGCCATAACGTATGGACAAATGCAATACAGTGATGGTGGAGAGAGAGGGGGGGAAGGAACTGTAAAACTATAAGTATAGGAGTAGAGTCTCACATGTTCGCCATTGTGCAGTTTCTCGCCATGTCCGAGTAAGTTTTCGGACGTGTGTGGTGTCTGTAACTCAACCGGGGAGTCGAGAACGCCCGACAGCGTCCAAATCTCAAGGCCTCGCCTTCAAAATTTTGGTCCAGTTCATTCTTTCGTGACCTTGTGCTCGCTTCCAGTTGACTTCTGCACGCGCGTATGGTGAATGGCGAGGTAAACGCCCAGTAGGCATGCGAAGCCCGCATCCAAGCCACCGAAACCTGTTCAGTGAAACTATATAGCTCAGCCTCTGGCAAAAACTGCCTGACCTGAAAATCCTTTGACATTGGACATTTTCATCACTAATTTGATCTTCGCATAGTACACAAGAAAAGCTTCGAAGACGGCGGTGTTCAAATAGAGACAGCATCTGAGCATGTACAGGCCAAGTTACGCAACTGTAGAGCAGGACGACTCTCACTTCGACATTATAGACAAGGCCCTTCAGGAAGAGACTCGGGTCGCTTCGACGCCAGGAATGGCGGAGATTAGCAAAAGTTACCCGAGCCTTAGAGACGCGCAAAGTGACCTCATCCATTAAACCGTTAGCACTGATGCAGCTTCCGACGTAGACGAACTTGTCTACAACTTCCAAGGAATGATCTGTAAGGGCAGGGGTTTGAGCACCTTCTAGACAGTCCTGTAGGAAGACTTTACACTTCGATGGAGTGATGGTCGTTCCAAACTGAGAGACGCACCCAACCTACAGCGTACATTTTGGATGGCCTGTGAGGAATCGCAAGGCACGGCGATATCACCTGCATATTCCAAATCGCGAAGTGGGTCCCGCGAAAGCAGCTCGACTCTGTTGTGTTCGCATCTATCCAGAGCACTCTCCAGGATGTTCACAGTTCGGGTGTTCAAATTTGCTTAACAAGCGGATTCAAAAACATCTGCATGGCACACATGTGATGATTCGAACCTGTGTAACATTCGTCAGCGATGGTTAACCAGCCAGTTCGCTCCGATATTACTGGATTGCATATCGGGTCAAGGTGACCAGTGTAAAGGCCTCAAAATGGGGGTCTTCACTCAGACCGAGAGAACGAGCGCTATGCGTCCACGCACTGGTACGATATTACTCCAAATAGCGCTCTAAATCGACCGGCTGTCTAAAACTGATGGGCACCGTTTGTTGCTTATGGTAATATGGTCTACTTGAGCTAAGCGGCTCGTTTAGTTTACTTAGCACCAGCTAAGTCTATATGTGCGCTTATGTTAGAAAGCTATGCCGCTAGAGGTTGTCGCATGTACATAGCTATCTACTATCTACCCAACACAACTTTACCGCAGATTGACTCCCAGGTGGTGTTCGTAACGTAGTAAGCGATGCGTTTGCGCATTAATATCACCGACAATGTTTGCTCATCCGCACTCTTTACCATTCGGATCATGAATCACACTAAGCAGTAGGATTTATCTTTAATGAGTGCGAAAACGGTAAAAGGCGTTTTATCTTCTAGCACCGCTCTTGAACTTCGAACCGCAAATGCACAACTACTCACGGGGATATATTCGAGTAAGTTCTCTCCAGCATGATTGCTGCGTACAATGTCATTATCAACATGCCTCGAATCGTCGACTGGTCATCGCTAAAGAGGCTACCAGACAACCAAGCCAAACGAATACTTAGGCACGTCCTTAGAACTTGGGGACGAACCGGTAGCAAAGGCGGACCTGCGCCTGGTCATGTGAACGGTTGTTGGAATCCGATGTTCGTCAGCGGGCCTGTAACCGCGCTGTCGATCTAGTAACCACATCCGGTGCACAGCGACAACGTAAGTAACTTTCGAATTCCTGTGCAAATCCACCATATGGGTTGACATGTGATTAGACCGTGGCGAGTCCGTCTATCTATGAATATCTCAGATTTTAGGCACACTGTATACACAATCTACTCAGTCTTTGTTTCGATTTTCCCCGCTTAGGATCGGTGCATCAGGCAGAGATCACTAAAGGCCGCAGTACAGCAGATGCGAGACATGTAGTCACTTTAGACAGTTTGGCTAGATCGATACCAGCTTACGTACGTGTTTCGGAGACCCAGCCCACACACATCCCAAGTGTAATCGTTCCACCGTTTGATCTAGTTGATTTAGAGTGAGTGTTGAAGGAACAGGTGCAAAATGGACTCTTGTTTTAAACGACGCTTTTGGTGCATCATTATCACCAGTTAAGAGTTCATCGGATCTCTCGTGTCCGTTATTCCACGAGGAAGAGTATTACGGGGGAAGAGTGCACGTCGGTAGTGTACTTGCGACTGAGCCCACTTCGGCTACCCATTCTTGAAGCTAAATTTGTTCGGCAGCAAACACCTTTTTACTTTGAAGCAGTGGTCTGTCCCACAAAATAATGAGGAGCGGGCCGAGTGCGGTACTTTCCGCGGAACCCCATCGGTACTTGATCGAGTTAGGCCACATTCAATCTTACAAGGTTCAGTACAACCCATACGTGTTTTTGACCCTATCACGGGATGCACCTTCGGCTACTGATAAGAACACATGAGTTTTATCAGGCTTGCGCCTAACTGAGCAGGAGCTGCTCGACTTGAGATAGGCAGTGGCGAGCAGGTATGCAAGGTTGGTGGTTTCCGGTCACCAGTGACCACCTGTGACGCTCATGGTCTATACCAATCGAGTTGAACTTACAACCCTTATTCCGCCGCTTCCTATGACCAGTTTTTGAAGAACCGTCAGCCTCCCCCCCAAACACCAATGGTTTGATTCTTATCCATAGCCCATAACCTGGCGGATATGAGTCGCCTTAAAGGCACTTGGAAATTGACACCTGGCATACTTTAAAGAGTACTGGGAGTACGCAGACCCTCGCACCATATCAAGGTCCAATTTCCTCTCGTTAGTTAACTCGTGCTTAATGAGTTTTATAATATGGGAACTCTTCGATTTTGCGTTACGCTAAATGATGCCCGAAACCTTCCCTGTTCTTCTCCCTTTACTTGATATGAACTTTATACTATCCCACCGACGGTCATCCATTTATTCATCGTTTGTACGATCACCTCATTATCTACACAAGTGTCCTGTTCTATGCCTGTCACCAGGCCCTCTCACCTTGACCGTACAAACTTTCAGTGGATGGCAGTATTCCAGGACGTAGTGGGTTTTCGCCTGGCAAGCGTTCTCCCTATAAAAGCCACAAATATCCGTTTAACAACACTGTGACGTGGCGGATGTGACTCGCCACTGAACAGTCACTGCTCACAACTACATACTGGCAAGTCGACTAGAGTCATATTTCAATCTTTTCTTGACACGTACAAGAATAAGGCACTCTCTGTCTACATATAACGTTTTCCCTACACTTATAGTGCCTTGACTGTTTGCACTATGCACACTTGAACCCAAAGTATCGTCATCCACTGACGACTTTATTTCTCATGATTACTTCTTTAATTTCCGCAGCCTGTACAACTTTCGGCCACTGCCGATTACATACATAGCAACGTGTCTGTTGCGAAACACAACTGCCTGTAAATTTTGATCATGCCTGCTTTGATGTGCCTCGATAAATTCGAGAATAAACCTTTTCGAAGAAAGTAGAAGCCACGATTAAAATTCACGCACAATAATATGCCTCGAACCCCGGTCCACGAATTTCCGGTCCGTTGCTCTACCACCTGAGCTACCGAGGGCTGACGATTAGGTGCGCAAATTTTAACACATGTCTTAATAAACCTTTTGTTTATTATTTAATCATGGTATCTCTCCGTATGGAGAATTTGTTAACCTGGTTTATTTTTCTAACTGATCAAATTTTTTATTTCGTTAATGGAACCTTTCGTTGTCCGTTATCTCAAAATGTGCGACATTGTTTGTTTGACCAGGTGTCAGAACAAATCCAACTGTCACATGCGAACCAACACAGTTGGACCCCATGAACATAACACACAGCCGTCCGACTCCAGCTCTGTAGCAAGCGACCTTCATGATCCGTTTACTTCTGTGGAAGAATCCGTGGAGAAACCTGCGAGTGATCCTGAGCTCGCAGTGTGTGAACACTGCGGTCTACTCCTCCGTCCCGGCCGCCGCCTTTTCGGGACAAGTGCCTGGGAAGCGGTTCGGGAAATTCGATTCCGAATTTTTTGTTTCACTCGGTTGACTTGCAGTGCCGGTAAGATATACGTTATTTGTGTCTGAATGCACTCTGTGTCCTACTTTTTGAAACTTTTCGGCGCCTTTTTCGAATACCAGTTTTGCACTCCATTGTACCTGGAAATATCCAATTGCGCTGTTACTGCATTCCCCTTCCTCACTTTCAGTTTATTTGAAGATTGATTTTGAAATACTTTTTGTCTCTTCAAATTACTCCCTTATTCCGGTCAGTACAGTGATAACTTTAGTCACTGAGTCAGCTGTGGTCTTGTCCCACCGTGTCCATTGGGTCGGGGCCTCATCGGGTTGTAGTCATAGCAGGATGACTATATAACCTGCTGTCTTGGAAGCCCATTCATTGTCTTTGATCACGCTTGACCGTAGTGCCTGTTTCACTGATTATGGCCGTACTTATACTCGTCCCTGACACTAGCCCTTTCGTGCCGTTTGATTCGAGAAGACTCAGTGTTGATCCTGTGTTGCCATCCTTCTCTGTCGTTTAACCGAATTCAGGAAATGCCTTTATCCCCACTCTTGGTTGTTAGTCTCTTCCTCGGCATTGGGTAGATATACATGTCGTCTTTCCCCCACGTTTGCACACACATATACAGATGATGGTCACTTTGCACACGTTTGTTCGTAGCTGTGTCGATTGCAACTCTACACCACTTTGTTCGTAACTTGACTGTTAACAAAACTCTCCAAAGAGTAATTCGTACATGTGATCGAATGGTACGTTCGTCTCCGCTACTTCCATGCTTGAAACTGACTCGGTCCTAGACTGCAATGGTACGATGACGAATCGGTTTTACTGAGATGGACATGTGAAATGACGGTATAGCTTGCTTCAGTTTCCCTCACTCTGGGAATGTGCCACAGCAACTTAACTACCGAATACCACGTTTTACCTTGACAACCGGGACACACGCTTTCTCCTACCAAGTTTGTCCGATGAATGTTGCACCCTATCGACCACTACTGCGACCACCGTGGTGTTGGTAACAGCATTTGTCGTATAGATCCTAAGTACATCGACTCGCTCGTCTCAATGCACAAACTTCGGCAGTCCCGTTCAGACTTTATCCAAAAGTAATGGCCACCTATATGCACCCAACAATCCTTATGTTATGCTGCTGCTTCCCTAATTTCTTCTACATACCGGCATGAATAATCGAGGCACATGTTCCACTTTTGCCGCAACCCGATCTTCCAAAACGGGGATAAATTGAAAGTGTTACTGTGTTTTCACTACTGTGAGGAGCAGGCTGGTTTTCGCCCCGGTCGGGGATGTTTGAATCGAATATTCGCGCATCATCCGCTCGTCCAACATCGTTATCTCTACTACAAACCCATCATTGTCGCTTTCTTGGACATTCGGGCTTCATTCGACACAGCAGACTGACTTGCCTTATGGCGATGTCTGCTGAAGAATGGATTTACCGAAAGCGCGTCGCTATACTTCGGGCACTATGCCTCCATACTTCAGGCAGAGTGAGAGCCTACGGCAAACTTCATACTTTCCTCCCTGCCACCAGTGGTGCACGATAAGGCCGTCCTATATTTCCGTTTCTGCTCCACTTAGCGATCGAAGACATCCTGTAGGGAGCTTTTGAAGTTCTGTAGAATTTAACCGCCGACCTATTTTCAGGTAATCACGCAAACGACTTAGATTACACGCCTTGTTTGGTGACGACCTTCGATTTTTGCAAGTGGCCCTAAACCGGCTGGTGTTGAAGCGTCTAAGCATGATATGTGCTTTGCTCCTTCCAAGTGTAATGTGTTGTTAAAGGATTGACAATCTCCCCTTTATCAGCACACCATTGAAGGCATGCAGCTGGAACACATAGACGGTTTTGTATACCTAAGGAGCTGCATTTCTGCTGACGGCACTATTCGAGAGGAGGTATCTCTTCGTTTCGCAAAAGCCCGGTTCGATTTTGCAAACGAAGCATTTGTGGTGTCTTCGTGACATTTCGCTCCTTAAAGAGCAAGGTCTACAATGCCAGTGTCCGCGAGGTGCTGTTGTGTGGATGCGAATCCTGATCGCTGTGTGGATGCCATGCGTAGACTTTCGGTCTTTGACAGTTGCTATTTACGGAGGATCGCCCGTGTATGGTGGCAACATTAAATGCACACTGATGATGTCAGACACCGTGTTTTAGGTAAGACGGGGCTCCTTTTTGAGCTTGTTCTGTTGCGCCATTCGAGATGGGTTGGCCACTTCCTACGCATGCCTAATGAGCGTTAACCACGCCGCACTCTACTTGCCCTTGCGGGGACACCTTGAAAGAGGCTTGTGGTGGTCAGCCGACCACTTGACGACAAGAAATGAAAGCACAAACATCTTACCTAGCCACCGCTGACTCAGTACGTCTGCTCGGTTTGGTGCCTAGGGAGGAAGCATGCCAGTGGCTCAGTACGCTCGAAGCAATGGTGCTAAACCGGATGCAATTGGAGCGACGTATGCAAAATTGCGTGAATTCCCGATTTCGAAAACATTGACACTTAAAAAGAAAAACTAATGGTGAGAAAAGACAAAAATTCCGAGGTTTTCTGTTTCTCCCAATTAATTTTCCTTTCCCGAATATTGTCCATTTTGCTCTTTTTTGATGCCGTACTCTAAGTTATTGATGGCTCAAAGTCTATTCCTATGGACTGATGTCCATCTACATATATTAGATTCGTAATAAAGTTATTGCGGTTTTTAATCTTAAACTTTCAATGCACAACTTTTGGCTTAAAGGTAACATTTATATTCGAAATAAACACCTTTTTGAATTGACGCATTTTTGCTAACGGGAAACGAGTTTATTTAACCCGCATGAATGAAATCCCGGACTTCGGGTAGCGATGAAACCATCAAAGGCGGTTTCAGCATCTTCTTAGATTATAAAACTTTTCTATCCGGGTGCTTAAAAAAGTGCTAATCGGTGACTGAGAGGTCAGGGGAGTATGGTGAGTGGGGCAGAATTTCGTATCCCGGCTCGTGCAGCATCCGCAGGGTTGTTTGTGCGACGTTTGCCAAACGTTATCATAGAGAAGAATTGACCCCTTTCCATTAACAAGTACCAGGCATCTGCTTTGAAGTTTTCGGTGTATTTCGTCGATTTATTGACAATACTTCTCCGCTGTAATAGTTTTCCCTGGATTCAGAAAGCTATGCTCGATCAGACCACCTGCAGACTACCAAACAGTCATCATAACGTTTGCTTGGTGCAATGTCGGCTTCGAGAAGTGATGTGGAGCTTGATCGTTGTCCAACCATTGAGTGGTTCGTCGTCCATTGTCGTAAAGGATCCGCTTTTCATCGTAATTCGCAATCCGGTCGACAAACGGATCGTTTTTACTGCGCAGCGTAAGGATAGATGACACCACAAAACAACGCTTTCGTTGCTTTTCATTTAACTCATGCGGCACCCAGTTATCAAGCTTTTTCGCCGTTCCAATCTCCCGTAAATCTTTTAAGACTGTCACATGCGATACTGTTGTCAGCAGCAAAATCTCAAATAGTGTTATGCGGATCCGTATTAACTAAGGCCTCGTTGTTCACTCCCAGTGACCATCCACAACGCTCCCCCTCTTTAATCCACTCGTACCACTTTTAAAATTTTTTAACCACCATTGTGCAGTACGGTCATTAATGATTCCAGCATCCAATGCACCATTAATGTTATGGACAGCCCAAATTGGCACACAAAATTATACGAATTTGTCTTCTGTCTGTTGCATCAAATGTTCGGTAAAGATGTAAAAACCGGTTTCTGAGCTAAACTATCGCTATTTCTAGATAGAGCGCAAAACAGGCTTCAAAATGATATACAAGGTCAAAGTGCGCTATTAAAAATTATACAAAAACACGTTAAGATGAAATATCGAAAACCGCAATAATTTTACTACCAACACTTTATATGCTGTGTTTCAGCTTTTACTTGCCTAGGTTGCCCAGTCTTTCACTATTTTCAAGTTGATTCCCTACGAAAATGAGCCACTTTTTCGACCGTAACATTCTCTCGAATATTCAGCGGGAGCACACCTACTATCTTTCTCACTCTCGTCATTGCACTTGCTTCATTAAGTTTGATTTTCTCCTTTTTCCACTCCATTTTACATCCCCCCGCAATTTAACAGTTACCTTCAACTGCTAAACCATCTCCCGAAACTCGGTGTCCCGCACGTACACAGTGTCACTTCTGCTTACCCAGTCCGGTGACCGCGATATGGTTAATTGATTTAGACTTACTGGTAGCGGAAGAAACCCTCATCTTCCTCCTCTCGGTCGATGAAACTTAAACCTCAACGCACGATAGCGTGTCTCTGACACTGCACCCTTGACCCATTGTTGCTGTCTTGAAACGCAATTTCAACTACTCCCTTTTGACTTCAAGTACTAGTCCATACACCCAGAGATGATCGCCTCTTAGACTTGTTGAATGCTCCGTTTTACCCTGTTACATAGATTAGCAGGTTCTCTGTACCACTTCCGAGTCATGTTACCTCATAGGGCAATCAAGTATGGCCGTAACGATTTCAAGTTGCACAGTTAACACTTTCAAATTAGTCTATTCCACACGTTTGTCGGCTTGTTTAATGGACCAACTTGAAATTGTTGACGACACAACTTGGAATTGTTATGGCCTTACTTGATTTCGCTATGGACTAACATGACTCGAAAACGGCGATATGGATATCCAATCTGTTTCATGCTCTTTACCTGACTAATGAGCGTACGGGCTTCCTTCCTCCTCTTCTCCCCCAATTATGTTTCGATTCCGCTAGATTTGTCTGTCACAATACAGCTTTTTTTACACATTGTACTGCCAGGATTATCTCCTTGATTGTCATCTTGGTAGTGCAAAGGTGCTCTTCTCGCGTCACTTCAGGTATCGGACCCAACACGCTTATCGCGAAAATCGCTTCGGATTGGAGTAAACCTAGCGGTCAATTTGAAGTGGCGAACTCGCGCGAAGCTGTGGATGAGTTCATACGCCCACTGCCAGTACGAAAGGTATCAACCGGATGAATGCTGAGGCATGCTTTTTCAGTATACATAAGTCGACTCCGTTCTTACACCTTTCACAGAACACGTAACATTTGGCAACATCCTTTGTTATTTTAACAATTTCCATGTGAGGTGACGACCATCGAATTTAACTATTGCTTCTGCTACGCACAGGTCCCCGGCATCGGTCATGTGACGGAACGCCGTCTAGAAGCTTTTGGTGTCCGAACCTGTCATGATTTGATCGAAAATCGCGGAAAGCTATGGCAGATAAGCAGTCGCTCGGCAATGACCTATTACTTGCGAATCGCCCTGGGGCACAGTAGCGATGAATGGCTGCCATGTTCCTCGGACCTTCATCTTTCGGCGGTTCCGAGTGAAGGTGATCCGACCACTAACCGGAATGAACTTGACCGTAAAAGTATGAGTGTTGAAAGGTGTGTACTTACAGCTACTCTGTTTGAATATTATCCTCTAGTTGTCGCAATATATGTAGAATTGCCGTTTTACCCAATGGTGCTTGTACAGAATTGCTCCATTATTTAATTGATCTGTTACACCCCGTACTCATCGGTTGGCAGCCAGCCTGTGTGTCAACTCGATGTAATCTCCTATTGTTGTTACCGTTTATGAGAGCTATTTGATGTGCGCCGTCCGTTTGCAAACTTGCCTGTCCCTGGGACTACCAACAACCGCACCACAACAAGTGGGGTTCCCCGGAGTTGTCTTATATCTTCTTTTTCTGTTCAATTTTATGAACAAAATGATGATGAACAACTCTGTTCCTTCAGACTCTACCGTAGTCGGTCTTCTACCAGGTGACCAACTGACAATCCTTCAGTATTCGGACGCAGTAGCCATACAAACACTATTGAGTAGACTGACGCGTAATGCTGCACGCTTCGGCATGTGGTTTGCGCCTTAAAAATGCAAAATACTGTTGCAAGACTAAATAAATACGCCATCGGTTCTAGCTATCACTGAACAGTCACTAAAATGGTGGATCGGTTTACTTACCTTGGTAGCTGTGTCACCTCTGGTGATCACATCACTGAGGAAGTTAATTCGCGCATCAGCAAAGCTCATGGGGCTTTCCAGAGACTCAAACCTCTATAGAGGCGACGGGATATCGGTGCGTCAGTGAAAGGTAGGGTGTACAACGTTGTGGTAAGGCCGGTCTTACCGTATAGATCAAAGATCTAGCCAGTGCGCGGCGAAAATCTTAAATGGTTGGTGGTGTTTGACTACCGGTGCTTGCGGAGTACTGCTCACCTCTGGTGGGAATACCGAGTGAAGAATGCTGTAAGTCACCCACTTGGTTTTTGACAAGAAGCCTTCTGGTGCCTCACTCGTGTTTATTTCATTTTAATCGCTTACGTTGGCCAGATCATGTCCTCCGCATGCCCGCTGACAGGATTTCTCGGCGTGCATTAAACGCCACGGCTACGGCAAATTGATCGAAACCTTGAGGTGACCAGTCCATAACGTGACGTGGAAGCATGAAGAAATCGACTGAGAGACTTGGTCAGGCTGGTACATGCCATCTTTATGGGTGGGTTCCTCACGATAGTCCACAACAATGGTTGCAGACCATTTAAGGTATGGCGCAGTCAGCGGCGTTCTTGCATCCGGTTTCTTGCGTCTAGATGTTAATTTTCATTACATTCCGATTTTTCTCAAAGCGCCGCCACCTTGATTCCATTTACTTTACGTTCCATTTGCATTCAATCTTATTTTCATATCCTTATTAGTGTGCCGATATGAGTCCTGGCAACTGGATACACGGCGCTTTGATGCTCGGATCATAATTGTTTAACTGAACTGAGCCGGTCGGTAGCGGAAGAACAGTACAAGGCTAACAAGCCCCGGTCTGTGCATTCAGAAGAATATGTTGCAGGCATTGTAGCTGCCGTGGCTCACCATCAGACCCGCAAGACCACCTAACTTCAATCATGTGATTAGATGGTTGGTGTCATGACCACAAGTTAAATTATCTAATCATTTGGTTCGTTGTCATACGGATGATTATAATAAACTTTATCCTACCGTATATTATAGTGCATAAGCCGGAGGAAAGAAACTAATCGAAAACAATTGTTCGACCGAAGCGTCGTGTTTCTACTTCTTTTTCTACGTTTTACTGAATAAATAGCCATTATTCAGGGGTTAAAACAGTACATGGATCTTTAGACATACCGCGTGCTTGTGTTTGCCTGTGAAGAAGTGTGGGACGGCTCCGTTGATCAAACTTGGCTCCCATCCACATGTCTCCCGGTCTTATTCCTTCGGATTTGCACTCTAAATGGAGTGTGTGGTTGAAGCTGTGCGTGGTGCAGCGCAAGCCACCCATGGTTCCTATGTATGCGCAGGCGTCCTGTGGCTGGCCACAGGGACAGGCAAATCCGAAACCGGATGCCGCCAACCAACCATGTATACATATACCTACATGACGGGAGAGCCTATGTTGCGCTGAGGCTGGTGGTAGCTAGATGCTGACAGATGGTCTACCCACTGCTACTACTGTTGTGCAATGGGCTCATGTCCTGGACGCCTCGTGGCGACCGCTGGGTTGGAGTTGGGCTACGCCCTTCTACCTGCTAAGATCCAGGACACCAACCCGCATGAGCCCGTGAACTGACCATGTGTTAGACCCGCTGTCTTTCTGGTGTACATTTAATCGAATGCTTTGGCTGAGGACCCGAGTCGTTCTCCTATCATAAGTGGGCGCCCTGCCAGTATCCTAGTCCATCCTCTTCGGAGGTTAGGAAGTAGTCGATGGCCATCTTCCCGTAAAACCTAGCCATGGGAGACAACAGTTCTACGGGTTATAAGCTCACATCTCGATTGGCATAGAGCACAAGCGCCACGCATTGTCTCTGACGGTGGGAGGGCACCTCCGGGTGTTCAATGGTTTACTACTGCCCGCCTCAAGCCAAGCAGCCCCTGCTAACATTTTTGCAAACCCGCCAAAATCCACCTGCGTCTGGCCGTGGTTGCAGGTGTATCCTGCTACGGTCGCAAAACCTATATGAATCGTTCCAGTACCTCAAAGTCTGCGTGTGACTGATCTCAAGCAGATTTTACTCTGTCTCTGCAATCACATTCCCTAGCTGAATCTGCGGCCCACTGCCTTGTGGATCAGGCAACTAAGTCAAAGGCTCCGGATAGTCCCTCAAGGAAACCCCTAAATCACCCACTGCCTTGTGGGTCATGCTGTTGGGTCAAACGCTCCAGGTGGGGTTCCCCAAGCAAATCTCCAAACCACAATCGCCACCTCGCGTGCGATTGCGCACCATTGTAATTGTATGCCTGCGCGAAAAGCACTCAGCATCGGGTGTTGGAACATGCGCACACTATTGGACCGAAACTCGAGGGAGCGCCCCGAGCGACGCACTGCACTCATCACGATGGAATTGGCCCGTTACAACTTCCATATTGCGGCGCTCAGTGAGACTCAGCTCGCTGAGCCAGGTAAGTTGTATGAAGCAGGTGCTGGCTACATGTTCTACGGGGGTGGGCAATGCCGCCTCAGCACCATGTGATCATGGAGTCGGATTTGCAATATCCGATCGCCTCCATGGCCAACTCGTAGGTGAACCAACAGGCATCAGCGCACGACTGATGACTGTTCGCCTACGACTCGAAAGAGGTATGTTTACTACCTTTTTAAGCACGTACGGTCCGACCATGTTTTGTCTTGATGACACACGCGATCAATTCTACACTCAGCTATCCTCCGTGGTACGGTCTGTGCCGAGGAGCGACCGACTATTTCTGCTGGGTGATTTCAACGCGCGCGTTGTGCGTGATGTATCGGTGTGGACAGGTGTTATCGGTCCGCATGGCATTGGTTCAGCGAATACGAACGGTGGCAGGCTGCTCTCACTGTGTGCAACTCACGGCCTGACGATCACGAACACTCGGTTTACACTGAGTGCGAGTGATATAGCAACTTCTATGCACTCACGGAGTGGTCACGCTCACCTGCTCGACTAGGTCATCGTACGTCAGCGTGATATGCATGCAGTGCGCATGACACGTGTGCTGCGTGGAGCTGAGTGTGGCACTGAGCATGAATTGGTGCGGACCAAACTGTACATATATTTTCGTAAATCATTGTATTGCACTCTCACCGTGGATTGGCGTAAAATTAACATTCTCTCCCTCTGTACTGTGGCGAAACGTATTGACCTGCAATATGCAATGGCTACACGCCTGTGTCATGTGGAGTACATAGCCACAGTGGGCCATTTGTGACACCACATTCGCGACCAGGTGACAGCTGCTGCCGAGGAGGTTATCGGGCGCGCAAACTTTAAGCGTCCTGATTGTTTTGATGAGAACAATGCGACGATCGGCGCATTGGTGTCGGAGATGAATGCAGCATTTGCTGCACATGTGGCAGACCCTAGTGACTTCGGATAGAGTAGTTAGTTTCGCAAACTACGACAGCGACTGACGCGAGAGCTCCGTCGCATAAAAAACGCATGGTGGACGGAGAAGGCGAAGCAGATGCAATGCTACGCCTAACGCCACCAACACAGGGAATTCTTTGACTCCTTGAAGGCGGTGTATGGACCGACATTGGAGCCGCTGACGACGCCGATCGATGCTAGTTCAGGCGCTACCTGCGCACAGACTGCAGACATAATGCAGATGTGGCGAAATCACTTTGACTATCTCTTGAACAACCGTTCAGAGATCGACTGGCCTACATTGAACGGTCTCAAGCAGCACGATGTAAAGGCGAGTCTGGCGGACACGCAGACACTGGATGGGACGCAGGGAGCACTTGCTCAGCTGCGAAACGGCAAGTGTGCTGGGGCTGACGGGATCCCGCCTGAAGTATTGAAACACGGCGTACCCGCGTTGTTGTCTGCGCTGCACCACTTGGTGCAACGTGTATGGATTGATGAGGAGTTGTCTCCTGAGCTAAAGGATGCCCTTGTGCTACCACTGTACGATCGGTTGGATGTTCACTATAAACCCTATAAACTCGGTTGCTATCTGGCCCTTACCTGTCTGGAGCTTTACCGCGAGGTCCCCAGATATTGGACCCACAGTAAAAGGGATGCAACAGGCGACTGATAGCTAGTCATGAACTCTGAACTGTGATGATCTACTGCCTGGATGCGATATGCTGCTTACCCATGCAGTTAATCATATGGATCTTTCCTTTATGGGTTCTGTATTCACTTCCATCCGAGTTCGATCGTGTCTGTTGTTCTCTTCACATGTCCTACTTTGTTTAATATGCATTCTTCGTGTTCGATTACTTGACCAGTCGAATCACGCGTATGTTCGTTTGGTGTTGATCACTTCACGCGACCAGAAATTCTCATTGAACGGGGCGGGGTGCATTGATTTGCAACACTGGAGGTATCCTCGGCTCAATCTTGTGTAGTTGGGCTTGTCCACCGTCCGTTCCGTTCAGGTCGCAACACGCATCAAACGAGCTGGACTTCTCTGTTCCCTCCGCATTTCATTCGAAAAGGCATGAAATCTCCTGGAGTACGGTTGGTCCTCTTTAATCTCAATTCCATCAGTCGCTCATCGGTTTTACGTCAATGAGCTGGTTTTATCTACAGTTTGCTTGATAATGTATCATCTGAAATTGGTTTACGGAAACCCATCATTGGTTATTTTCATGTCATTTTTCCACTCTCCATAGAACTTTTCAAGATACCTCTGATCCAAATGCGTTGTTTCTACGCTGTCGTCAACTCGCTGCAAAACTATCCGCTGAATTAAAGGAAGAACATGTTAAAGTAATTGGAATTGTATTGCCTTCACGTTTTACATTATTTGATGCTCAGCCTTGTGGCCTCACATGAAAGCTACTATGGAGTTGTGGAAAGTCTTCATATTCTTACTAAATACACGAACGTATTTAACTATCGTGCATCCCACCCAGTCAATCGGAGCTCTGACGCGACTGGAGTTGACCGTCGTGCCTTTGGGGATTGTTTTCCAGTAGTATGACGCATTCGTTTAAGTCACCATTCCAGCGCCTTGGAGACTATACTCGACTGAGACATGTATTTTGAATTCCAACGAGTTACCGCTGATGTATTTAACAGCTTTCTGCAAGTCTACTGCTGCATTTGGACCCTCTTTTCCTTTTGCTGTTGAACATCAAAATGAAGGGGTCATTTCACTTCCATAAAACCTACGAACTCCCATGGAATGAATCCATTTAGATCACACTCTGTATTTACCTGCAGCTACTTTTTAGACAGAAGTTCGTACCTGACTACAAGCCGTTTAACCGCCCCACACGATAATCTACCTTTGTTCTCATGTGTCACTTGTGCCGTTCGCCGATGGGTCAGATGACTACCACCTCGCCTCTATGCGCGCTCCGTCGTCTGCTTGTTGTATATTGCGTTAACCTTTCAGTTGCGCGATGCGTTGCTCCACGACATCGTTGCTTAGACCCTATACTCTGCCCTGTTGCCGAAACGAAGTCCTGATGTCTCGCATTAGAAGAACAGCTCTGATATCGATCAACTCAGGCTGTCTTTTGACTAGCATTTGATGGTAGTGGTACCTCTGAATCCCTCTGTCCTCTACAGGTGCGGCAGGACCGTAACTCTGGACTTTCCATGTACGCTGTCGATAATCTAGGTCATTGTAGCACCGAAATCACCAAACTACCGTATGATATGACCAAAGGTCGTGGATTGCATTTCTCTTGGTTCCACGAAACTAGCAGCCAACCAAAATCGCGTTTGGCTATATTAATCTTCTCAATGTATGAATGTATACTGATTATTAATTCGAAGATCCGTCGTTCCAACATCCCCGTTTTGTTTTGTTGGCGGGATTGAACGCAATGGCTAAAGGGTAACGATCATGGAAAGCAGGTACCCTATCGGTATTGGCGAACCGCTATGGATAGCGCGATTAGTGATCATTCATATTTGACGTACCAGATCCCAGGGATAAAACAAACCACACATACACTATACACGTTAGATAAATGTGGGAAACACCTCAGCTGCTGTGCCGCAATAAATAAAAGAAAGGGGAATAAAATGCAACCGGGGCAAGCCAGCCCAGCTACCGGTAACGGGTGGGCATCGTTCCGGTAAGCTACCAGCCGGCTACTATGCAGCAGAAAAAGGATAATTTACTATGCAAAATTATAACATGCTAAATAATGAGATCGTGGTTGGAGGGGGAGACTAAGAGGGATGGGGTGGGACAAAGAAACTCACAACACGAACGCCACTGAGGTCGGCTCCTAGCCAAATCAACAAGTGTATCCAGCCAAAGGTGTTCATCGTCTTTCGGACCGCAACCAGGGACCGAGACGCTCCAACCGAGGCCAGCTCAGAAGTGAGGGCCTACATTCCTCTCGATCAAGTCATCACTTGGCCACCTCTCCTCTTCTTCCATCCACACCCCCGGTGAGCAAACAACGCACGTCGCGGGAGTCGGTGGGCTGGCATGCGTAACACGTGGTCACCACCACTCTGGCTTGAACCGAACAGACTCTGCAACTGGACAAATCAGGTCTAGGTATTCACCTACGCGGTTTCGCTGATCTCTTGATAGTGCTCACTGTATTACAGTGCGTATTTTCTCTCATATCTAACCGTACTAAAATTGAGGAATTTTTGTTTTAATACATGTCTATGACATCGCTGTTTTGAAATTGGCGCAGCATATATATTCGAACTCTATGAGGACAGCGCAAACCGCCTGTTTCGCTTATCCACGTTCGCCGCATAAGTTTTTCGTCTCTGAGGGACCGGCTTTTGTAAATGCGGGGTACAATCATTTAGAGAGGATAACCTTCCTTTGGTTTCAAAAGTGACTTCATATTTACTGGTCGGCCAAATCAACTTCGCAGCAGCAAGCACAATGCGGCGCTGAGTTACTCAAGCTACTCGGAACGCTGATGAAATATCCTCATACTGTGGATTACCAAGGGTACGACAGAGAGTGCAAACCTACAAGTGGACAGACAGCCATCAGAGAAGTCACTTGAGATCGCCATTGACGCGGGATATTGGGAGCTCGGGTTGGCAGTTGCGGTGTTGATTGGATCGTTCAGCGGAGTAATTTAGTTGCACGTGTTTCACCAACCAATCCAGTTGGTATTATGGAATACCTTGTTAGCAGTAACACAGCTTTAGATAAATCCGTAGAAGGATGCTGACGGCTACAGGACAAGTCAAGTCAAGAAAGTATTTTTTTATACCCAGAACGCGTGAATATTCAGCCGTAGCACACACGCTTTCAGCGATACAGCATGATATAAACTCAATACAAAAAATTAGATGAATAGTTGAGAAGGAAGTAATACCATCCTAGCATACCTTGAGTTGTTAGTTCTTAGACAACTTTGTTTTGGTCTAGCAAAAATCGCACTAGTAGGAGGTAATTGACGAACGGTACGCTCTTGTACGGGAGTGTATATGGATTTGTACTCCTGTCTAGTTGACAATGTTAACACACATTTCGATAATACGCAATGGAGGGGTGACTTGTGTCGGCAAGTACTGTTGATGCAAAGATCAACATCAGTGCATACAAGTATATCAACGAACGTCATCATTCAGACACCGCTGCATCGTGACAAGTGCTTTAACGACCTGCAGTTTGATTTAAAACACTTACCCAATAGACCAGGAAAATTTACTGGTATTAGTATGTCCAGTGTGGAAGAACACAAGCAGTAACAAAACGAAATGTCAAGTCATGGGGAACAAAGGCAGCTCGCAAGTGAGGCGCTGAACAATGACCTCCGGACTTTTGCGAATGTTTCTTTTATGTGGTGTGACCAAGATAAATCGCAGCTTAACATAACACGCAAATACTTTACCGAGGGGGGTGAGTGCAACCTCTCGCCATCAATGTCGTGTTCCGGGCATTGCTAGAGAAGCTGTTTATATCGATCTCCCCTGTGCATTGAAGAATGGCAGCAGTACGTTTTGACACGTTGAGCAGCAGCTCGCCGGTCTTTGACCAAAAGGCAAGATCGTTTAGAAGAGACAGTCCTCCATTGATTGACGCGTTGGACAACGTCGTGTGCGTATTTCAGCAGGGTTGCCTCTCCTGGGACTGGTATTGAGGTTACATAGTTAGGAAAGAGAAATGGTAACAATAGCTCCCTGAAGAACCCCGGAGTGAGCTTAGGGGAGAGGAGCTTCTATCCCTAAAACGGGTAACCTGGGCACAACCGGTGAAATAATCCCCCAAAAGATGGTTGATATAAGGATGTATTCCATCACGGAGTAGATCTCAACAGCAATTCGCGGTTTACGCAGCGGAATGCGTTGCTTTAGTCCAGAAAACAGACTCTGATGAACTTGATTCTGTTGTCCAAGGATGACAGAACCGAGTGCATAAGAGGCTACTGCGTCTTATGATGACCTCTAACTGCAGTAGGCAAATTTCAGAGAATCATTTGACTTCTATTGTGTCAGCTTTCTCAAGAATGCTTTTTTCGAACACCTTTAAGGCTACCGTAGTACTACCAATAGGTCAACATTTGCTTAATCCCCTTTGTGGTATTATTGTGATATTGTCGCCCCTCCAGCAGTCGTCAATTTTTTGTTATTGTCTGCACAATGTGTATAAAGTAGCCAGAGGTTTGACCAGAAAGTGAGTACATTTTTTGAGAACAACGGGAGGCAAACAGTTTGGGCCACTTGCTTTCCCTGAGTGAACCTATTTCAACAACTTGTGTATAGTGCCGCTGTCAACAGGGGGCAGTGAGTAAGTGGCAAATTTAGGCTAGGCAAAGAATGATCCAGAGATCGGATTGCTGTTGCAGCTGTTCATGCTTCTCTTTCTCCACATTTACGTCGGAGATCGATCTACGTCGAGTAAGCCCCCTAAGTTGTTTTAACATCCTCCAGAGTTCACTCCCAAGTACAACCTAAACGTACATAGTGAGGAGATGGCGCAACTCCTCCACAATAAGGACGGTAAGTGACTTTACGTAAGTGTCTTTTCCTTTGAAAGCTTTCTCCTCATGTCTAGATATCCGCTTTAGGTGGGGGGGGGAAGAAAACCTGTCCGCAGGGATGAACAGTTTTGCATGGACAGCAAATGTCAGGGATGTTCAATTCTTATTCATGACTAGGAGGATTTTAGTTGTAATTTTAATGTCTTCCTTCCAGCAGCTCATAAGCTACATAACGCAACCGCAATCCGGAATAACACCAGACGCGTTTCGCCCTATTGGGGCAGTCAGTGGTGCGCATTCCCTCTGTCCTCTACGGAAAACCGAGCTCATGAAAGCTAGAGGCTGACGCCAACTAGCAAGCAGCTCAAGCCACTGAGCCACGGGGGACAGTGATTGAGCTATATTATTTGCAAGCTAACCTATCTTCCACTGCCACGCAGGTTTCTAGCAGTAGAAGACCGGAAGAGACGCACCACTGATCTGCCTCGATAGGACAGAACGCGCGTCTGGTGCTTTTCCAGATGGATTATGCCTGTGAATTGCTGGGACCAATACGTTAAAAGTAATTAAAATCCTCCTACTCGTGAGTACTATAATCTAGCCCTCCTAGTTTAAGTTGCTATGGACATAGCATCTTGTGCTGAGGTCCTTGGCCTTTTGACGTTGTTACCCGCAAAGCATGTTCACTATAAACAACTGCCTGCAAGCACTTATTGACATCGGGTCACCGAATTGAGGCCAACAAGGCGTTTAGAATCCTGCTTCGCCATACTAATTCCCGGCTTCTCCGGTTTGCCGAGGCTATTGCCATTAATCGGATTAAGCCAGTGCTTTGTGTTCAAAAACAATTATCGGTCAGCCTCAGGCTGTCCTGGTTGTAGAAGAAGGACATCCCTTTTTTCTCGTTTTTTGTATGTATGTCTGTATCCACAAACTGTTATATAAAATTACCGGTTATCGTTATCGGCACAGATGAGACGATATGAAATGCATGCATCTGCCGAACTTCGTCTTCTAATTGCTTTTCAAAAATATTATAGTTATAAAAGCCAGTTAACTATTGCACTTTCTGCTCTAATTTACGCAAACTGCATATTATCTTTAATTACGTTATCATTCAAATAAAGAAAACACCTATTTCGATTAACGCTTTATTGCACCAAGGGTTGATGTGACCGTTGATATTGATTTGTCCCAACAATTTATGGTATATTTTGTGCGTTCGCCTAATGCACATGGTGTGCTGTGCTCCTATTTGATTCGTTTCCTAGCCTTGGTGTGTGACCTCTGATCTAGCACGAACAGATATCCATGGGTTCTCATTTGTTTCAAACATTTATTTCCAATTCCGTCGTGGATGACAGAATCCCACCACCATTCCGTATCGATCCGTCCTGAACACGAATCGCCTGTGTTGTTTCTTCTACCTGGTAAACATTCTCTCGCTCATTTACCTGGTCGGCTGACATATTCTCACCTTAATGTTCACTCAACACTGTTCTTCGTTCCGGCGAACGACTGTGTGACAACTAAAACGCTGTCGTTAAGGTACGCGTAACTGTCGATCCCGAATAGTTCAAAAGACAAAGTGTACGGTGCTATTTACAAAACATTAATTACATAATACAACAAACCTCAATTGTAAGCGTTCTAGGCAAGCAACAAATGCGTTGGAGAAACGCTCAACAAAAGGGTATCATCGACCGTTTGTCAACCATCAAAAGTACGTATGAGCGCTTGGATAAATTGCATAACTGATGCCGTGTGCGGACAAATGATCAGTGGAATGCGACACCCTAGTGCGTTGAGCTCTCACGTTTGGTGAATGGGAGTGAAATACCATACGCAGACGTCTGGGGAATGGTGGACGATCGAGGTCATGGTGCGGTCGCACACATACACGGGGCGGGGAGAAGTGGGGACCCTGTACATGCACACACACACATACACCGGCATGATTTGGCTCCAGGCGTCCGGTGAGGTAATGGAGAGAGAAAGATTCACCCAGTGAACGCCGGCCGATATCAATCGGACGGCAAGCGTAGGAAAGTTTAGAGAATTTCTTGCGTAGTTAATCACGTTACAGACTGCCTGACTCGAAAGAACGGCGAGCGAGCCGATAGAGGTGCCATCTAGCTGCGCTGCTTTGCGGGTTTGCATGGGTAGATTAGATGATAAAGCTTATTCTTGAAAATTGTCTAATTCTCTGAACACTCACTAGCGGTTAATGACTGATGGCTACTTAATAGTGGTTATGTAGTTAGTTAATACTTTTGAAAGAGTGACTTTCTTACTAATTTTGTACTTATATTTACCCCCGCCCCCGTAAAATGCTATTTTTCCTTTTCGGGAGTAATTGCCCCCAGGTTGAGAACCGCTGACTTAGTGAGAGGGGGTCATGACCTCAGAGGCTACTCCCTTTCATCTGCACTGTTGGAAACCTGCGTGCCGCTGGAATATAAGTCGTGCTGTATCCCAGTTAGCTTGCGAATGATGTAGCTCAACCACCTTCCCCCATGGCTCAATGGCTTGAGCTGCTGGCTAGTTGGCGTCAGCTTCTAGCGTTCATGGGTCCGATCCCTAGTAGGGGACCGAGGGAATGCGCACCACTAACGAGCCCCAATAGGGCGAAACGCGCGTCCGGTGCTTTTTCCTTTGGGGGTTGAGCCATGTTAATTGTGAGCGGCTGGAACGAATGCATTAAAAGTTCAAACAACTTGTCAACTCATAGCAATACGTGGAAAGGTCAGCGTCAAACAACTGAATTCAGTGGATGGTACTATTTCTTGCATTCGGACTATATTCTGTGCGAAACACTATCTCCACTTGAACTTGCGGTTATTGCAACCACTAGCCACCTTTTGACTTGTTTTAGCGTATATGACAGGACACAGTCTCATTGTTGAGTTTTTACAGCTATCTAATGGCGCCCTATTACATGCGGAGAACAGTTTCACGTTAACAAATACTATATCAAGAGTCCTATCGGGTCTAGTGGAGCAATTTACGTTGTTTTGCAGCTCAAGAATTATGAGAAGCGCCGGTGTCAAGGAAGTTAAAATCACCAGCAAAATACATAGTGAACAATCGCCGCGTGGGGAAAATATAGATGTTAACCAGTAAGGTTAAGCGGTACGCACTGATGCACCTTGGCTTACACTTCAGAACTAAGAAACTAATATGTTGTGAAGAGAGGAAAAACAAAACTTCCGTAGATACGCACCAGGGAGTGTTGATGTAAACGCTGACTCCACCGCCACGGTAACGGTAGGAGCAAGAGCAGTCAACCCGATGACATTTAAAGCTTTCGATCGATACAAGTGCGTCATCCACCTTCTCTTGAAGATAGGTCTTGTAGAGAAATGACACCTCACCGCGAATATTCTCTGGAGTTAATGTTACCTGTTAGTTCATCAACTTTCCTTAGAAGTGAACAGATGTTTAAGACAGGCATGTTCATGGTTCTTAGTTTTTTTTCTTCCGAAGAGCAAACTTCCACCCAGCGCAGTGTCTTTTTACACAATTATTGCGCTTTTTGTAGCCGCCTCAATTTATTCCTTATAGCGTGGCCGTTGGAAAATGCCCATCCGGTGAGCGCGGAAACACATAGCAATTACAAAATATCGCGCGCATAGGTCGACATGATAACAGTCGCAGCCGGATAAAACAAGGTGAAAAATATGGTGTGAATTCAAAAGTGTGTGTGTGTGTGTGTTAAAAGTCACACAGAAAGGAATTGTAGAGCACGACAAATTCGAAGGCCCCACTGTGCGTTAGTAACCGCACTTCGTCCAGGTCAGCTCTTTACTGTGGTACTCAGGGATTCTGAGACAGCTCCCATTGGTTGGTGCGAAATTCGTTGCGACCTAGGATACCTCCTTTCAACCTCATTGCCGAATAGTCGCATTGTTCATGGAACGCGGATGAGTAGGCTGTTCTTTACATTGTACGGTTGCTGATTTTTTGTCTCACGTAGCAGTTTCCTATCCGTTCTCAACAGGATTTATGTATCAAATGGACCCAAGTGAGCGACCATATTTTACTTTTCTCACTTCTTACCTCAACAATCACTGCACCCCAGTTCCTTTCTGAACGTTTACGCGCGATAATTTTTTTCATTTTACACTGATGTTAATTATCAAAGTCTTCATCTCGGCAAACGTTCGATAGATGGCCCAGACATATTTTGCACCATATTAACCGCAACCATCCTACGGGACGTGTCAAGCACTTGCTTTTATCCCGTGATAATAAATCATTGTTCATTGTTTATTTCTCAATTGTTGATGCACAATGTCGATGTCAACGTTCAAGGGTATTGAATTCTCCGTAAAGAATTATGTTTCGAGAAATTCTCTTTGCTTGCCTCTCTATGCGTCAGAATCTGTTTTAATCGCAGTTTTATCCTTCCTCATCGATGTACGATGATATCTGCGTGCTATTGGTCCACCTCAGAGCGATTTGTTTCGTCTTTGTTGCTGCAAGTGCAGCAGTTGCAGTCTCGCTATGCAATGCTCTCCTGTCCTGTCCATTTTATCCAAAGGGGTCTTCTAACTCCGTATTATAACTCTTTGGTCCATACAAAAAGTAAAGCAGGGGAAGTGCTTTAAACTCTAGCACACACTACTTCCCATCGGAGTGGTTACTGATAAACTTATTTGCACTCTTAGATCATCGATTACAGGAGTACATCACTATTTGGTATTTTCCACTAAGCAACAGTTTCATGTTTTTTTTCTGTCCAATATATGTTTTGAGCACTTCATCTGTCGCCGTTGAGTGCAGCTATGGGCTAATATTTCTGTCCCTTACTGGTCTGATTTCTCGCCACCGCATCTAGATGGTGTTAGGTACCTGGTGGCCTTTTCCCCACCCCACCCTTATTTCTGTTTTTATCTGCATTTCTCACTATTGTTAAAGTAATCCCCTCTACGTCTTCTACTCTTCCATCAGGGTCGTCAGTTGACGCTAAAGTTAAAATTGGACACATTCGAAGTTCGATCTCGATCCCAACTGCTCCCGGATTACACAAACGAATGTGAATTGATCGCTACCTTTGCAATTGAGCTGCTTCGCGAAGAAATGGCCAATGAGAAAAATGCACATTGCTCCGCGCAGTTAAATCCATCCTGCAGCTCCAAGTCACCGGCAAAGCAATCACCCGGCGCACTGACTTTGCGGCTTATGGGTATGTCGCTGGGCGCAGTCTCTCTCCTTCACATGCATGCTAATAATGCCTGTTCCTGACTTCAGGTGCACTTTGAGTTCTGCTCCCATGCCCGAATGTGCAGTTCGTTTATGGCTTGAATATTATGCATTCCATGTTTTCTGCTATGTCCCTTTTTTCTTTTGCCTCATGCTCGAATGAGTTTTCTTCGTTGGCTTCTATCCCATTGAGAGTTCCTTGTCGGTTCACCTTCCTGTTTGGGTTTCTAGCATCGGATTGCACTGTCTGTGTCTTCCAGCGGCATTGTTTACATGTCGCACAGGATCCGGCGTCATCTGCAACACACTGCATCAGCCATCTGAATAATTCACTGCCAGCGTACTTGTAGCGGGGCGAAGGATAACGCTGCTTCTTATTATCCCGGTAGACAAGTGCATTTAATTGGCGAGTGCTTAATCGTCTTTTCTTACTTTTCTCTTGATCTTCAGGCACCTCAACAGTACGAGAAATCACATTTAGCCGCGTATTCTGTGGCGAATTCCTTACCAATGAATACTTTGCGTTTTATTTACGTCGAATATCACCAATGCTGTATGATGAAGCGCTTGTACTTTGCGTTCGTCCTACTCCTAGTCGCGTTTCAACAATTCGGTCCATCGCGCGACTTCGACCTGAACTTTTTCCATTCCTCTTTGGAATTTCTTTGTTCAAGCTGCGGTCCTTCGCATTAACTGCACTATCTGTACAGTTTATAGACTTGGATGTCACTGAGGCAAGCATGTGTGGCCACTGTCATCTGTTTTGATACTTTGAGTTTCCTGTTTGATGGTACCCACTCCTTATTCCACGTAAACGCTTATCATCGGACATCCTTTTTGTTGTCTTCCCCGCCCATAACTCCCGTGGTTCAGCCATCCGGAAATTTCGTACCTCTGCGACGGCCATGAGAACTGAGAACTGGTGCGAAGCAGCGAGTAGAGGTTGCTCTGTGTAGCTGCATCATTCGTCGTTTTCGGACATGAACTTTTTATTTATCGTTTCGCTCTCTGTACTTTGCCTCTGCAAACTGTTGGTCTAGTAGCCTCTTGAATTTAGGCACGGTGTTCCCTTCTACTATATGCTGAGGCAGGTCGTTCCAGACATTCACCACTCTGCGTTCGAAACAGAGTTGATGGGCGACCCGCTTCAAATCCGGGACGATAAGTTTATACCGGTGTCCTCGCGTGCAGTTTGGTGTGCGCAGATGAAGTAGTTGTCTCAACATGGGGTAATCACCCAGATGTAATATTCGGTGCGTCATGATGAGGTCAACCCTCAGCCGACGATAAGATAGGGTGTATAACCCTAGTTTCTTACATCGGTCTTCGTATGACATACCTCGTAATTTGGGAATCAGCCTGGTGGCTACATGCTGCACCCGCTCAAGCTTTTCTACTTCGCCCCGGGTGATGGGACAGTATGCGGGAGTGCCGTACTCCAGCATTGGTCGTATTATCGAGACGAAGAGGCGAGAAGCAATCTCTTCGGACCAAGTGCTAAAGCTGCGCCTGAGAGCCCAAAGCATACGAAGGCTGTTTTGGTACAGCCTATTCGTGTTGTCAATGGACTTTAGGTCGCAGCGTGAGAGTACACCGAGGTCGCGCACGAAAGGAGCGGGATGCAACGGTTGTCCAGCCACTGTGTACGTTCGACCGTGATCATACTTACCCATGAATGGGATATTTCCTACGTAACCGGACTTGAGTTGAAACTCTTTAGCAGCTACCCTCTCAGAACCAAGATCAAATTCGAATTTAGTTATCGTGCCTATCATTCGCCGATGCAAGAGTGTACAATGCAGCTCGAAAAGCTTTAGACCATAACATCTGAGGAAATTTACAGTCATGGATATGGAGCAGTGCTCCAGTACGCATCACTATCTTTTCCCGTAGTCTGGAAAGCTAAATAGCTACCTAATAAGTTGCCCTTCCACTATTACGATTCGCCATCTCACCAACATTTTGCCTGTTCATAACAACCGATTTTGACAGTCGTCATTCCTCACCTGAGTCACCCAAGCTGTGTCACTTTAATTATCCTGGGGGCAGCGAACCCTCGCCAGAGCCTGAACAGATTGAAAAGACCGATTCAGATTTCATGGTCTCCACACTGGTAAGGTGAACCAGTCTCTTCAGCTGTTCTCACGGCAGTGCTGTGCAGGTCATTTGACTGCCGGCCTCCGTCGTTCCCCATACGTTCAAGTATCTGATTGTGGATGTAAGGCCCCACTTTCACATCCTCACCGGGTCAGGAAGCTTTGCACTACCGAGTAGTCCCGAAACGGCCATCCCACCGTCCTTTGGAGTATTGGTTGCCATTTTCTGGGCTTATTTTGCATGAATCCTAATTAAATTACACCATCTTGCGATTTAATCTTGCGACCGCAACATTTTGGATCTGGATGGATACCGCACACAACAAGAATGGACAGACACAGACTATTCTGGGAATTTTCTTCCTTACTGTTCCATCTATTTCTTACTTACTCTGCTCGATACCATTACTCATCTCTCTTCCATAGTGCTCAGCGTAAAGAACGGCAGCTGCAGCACTACCGCACTTTTACCACCTGTATCGTTGACACCACGGGGCCAAATAGACATATGCCATCAAATGGCACATTTAAGCCACTCTGTTCCAGACTCTTATTGGCGTTCAGCGGTACCGTGTATTGCACCTGAATACCCGCCGGATGTCCTTGATGTTAAGGTGTGCTTCGTCTCTGAAACGAGCTCAGAATTCTCATTAGATTATCGGACTGACTACCCCCGTTTATGCGCTTATTGTTTTCCGCTTACGTCCGAGTGTGGTGACAAAGCAACCACAGGTCACTCTGTAGCACGTGAGATTCTCAACTCCACGCCGGTTACTTAGATTCCCGTCGACAGTCATCCACTGGAAGGCCGATGCCAATGGCGATTGGGGCGCCTTGTGGCCGGCAGTGCCGCCCGTTTGTGACCACTGCCTACTTTTCTGATGCCATCACGGATTCCCTTTATCACGAACTCGACAAGTTCTTGCGAAGTACTCTCAGCCTATCCATGACTCTAGATTTCAAAGCTCTGAATCCACAGTTAATTCGCCTGAGCTCCTTGGCGGACCAGCTGGGTGATATGTTCCGCTCCTGAAAAACTACGGGCATTTGTGGCAACTGTGCATCAAAGGTGGCTGTTTCTAGGCAGTATTGTTTTCAGACGCAGTGCAGTCCGATTGGCTCTCGAGTAGCGACGAACCGGAAAGGATCACCTCGCTGCTATCGCCGGGTAGTGTGAACTAATTATTGAGTCCCCTCGCTGACTTGATCAGGTGTCGATTTTCGTTACATTTTCTCAGCAGAATACTCCAGTGATTCGTAACCGACAACATATATTGACCGCTTGCTCGACAAGGTTACCGGGGCGTTCAGCGGACTACTTCTTCCACTTCTTTCTCTGAAGACGTAATGTTTTGGTGGAATAGGATGTCTGCCACCACATTTGGCGCATACTATTCTATTCGCAACGCTGTGGTTGTCAGCACGCGGGCGCTGGACACCGTGGAAGTCAGTAAATCTCTTCAACCCCATATGAACCTTTCTCGGTGTTCAGTACAACGCGATCAGACGTGTTGTTAGATACGAAGTGAACCAGATTATGTTAGCCGACCATTTTCTCATTGATGGTTTAAGTTCCCTCGTGCTTGTGGTATTTAAAAATAGCTGTGGTGCCGTCTGAGATGAATTGGCTCATTCAATCGGGTGCTGGATTGGTACACTGTCTCAGCCAACCGGGACGGAACTGTCATAGTGGCATTATTTAGCACGAGCAATCCAAACATTGGCGCCATCCTCATGCATTTCAGTTTCGCATTGGTGTTGACGAACTCCCGAATTCCACTTTGCTGGCCGCTTTGTTTTCTAACTGGTACATCGGACGATTAAAAAAAATTAGACAACTTTCAACCGCCTCTGCGTCACCGGTTTGAACAGCATTACATTTTCCTTTATCTGCTTAAATATTCTGCATATTTTTAATGGCACCTTCCACAGTCGATTGGCCTGTTCTGCTACAGGCACTACTCCGATAACAGTCCTAGTGATGTGCGAATCAATTAAGTGTCCCTTGCCCGAACATCCCAGTTCGCTGTGCGGCGTACGGCGAATTTTCTGACACGCTTTAGACAGCAAGTGTAGTTCACTGGGTTGTTCTCGTGTTTATCTGATTTTACCGCGTGTTTCACCTTGTGTTTCTTCCTGGACTCTCACAGCGCGGGTATTGAGGACCTACCCGGCAAAAGCTGCGTCTTAATCGACGACCGCGACGAAGCACTCATTCGTAATCTATCTGGGGTGGTTTTATACCTTGGCATGGGAATTCAACGTGTAACACTTTATTACATGACAATCACCACTGTCGCTTCCTAACCGGACGGCTTATTTAGTAAGCCGTGTGTAAAATTGACTTGCAGTGCGTTAACATTGTTTACACCGCACAACCGAAATCTTCACTCTAGGTTTATGGCTGTATTATGGCGAATTACTGATGTTACCGCTGAAGATATTGTCAGACGACCAAAACTACCCACGACCTCATTTTTACAGAACAGAAGTTCGTTTCGAAACTCGGAAAGATAAGAATCGTCGCGGACATCTTCATAGCACAATATTTGGTGAAGTGTTGCAGTAGGTTAAAAGAGAACACTTATTCAAGGGACACACTAACGATTGACCTCCCATAAATGAGCAAGTCAGTTGTGTTCCGTCACAGTGACGCAATACTGCATCAGTTCTACTTTCTTTTTCCTGACTTGTTTTAGCGCTGGATCGCACCGCAGTCATCGTTGCGCGACGCAGCAGTTACATTGCTCATTTCTGCCGTGTCGACCAGGGTTTAGTTGTTGGTTTTTGGCAATGAGCTGTCGAAACATTGAGCCTTATTTTCCTTTCATACTACACACATTGAGTAGCGTGCTTCGTTCATCTCCTGATCGCCTAACTCATTGTCTTTGTACGGTTGCAGGTGATTATGGGTGGTTGTGATATTATTCCTCCTTGGAAGAAGATACAAGTGGCTTAAGTATTTTCAACGGTTTGTTGTTGATGCTGCTACGAAAATAACGTAATCTGTTCTGGCAACGCTAGGGTGAAGAAAACGCGTGAACACGGGAAATGGTTAAGGATGAATTAAGATGGTGTGATTTAAAAATATGAATGTTCCTGGGCCGGCCACTATGTCACGTGCGCTGCGTTAGCCTCAGGTTCAATTTGAGGCCGATGGTCCTCTTGGCTAGCTAGGCGTAGAGTCAGTGGGTGGCAGTGTATTTGGATGAATAATTTAGGCAGATGTTACCTTGAAGGTGCATGCAAATATGTATGACCCACTGTGAATATGTACTTGATGGATGAATGAATAATGATGTTCCTACAAATGCACTTGGTTAGATGAAACCCAGGCTGTCCCGTCGATTCTGTAGAGAAAGACGCAAATGCCTGTCTGGTGCATACCATCTTCCAATTTAGGGGCCTCGAGGTCGGCCATATTAGCAGTCGAAAGCCTCTGCAGTATTGTGAAATCAACGACCCGCTTGCATTTCGTATCCTCCCCATTGTTCGCAATCCTTTCTATCAAACTACCTTAATGGGACTTTGGTTCACTTTTTGTATTATCATTTTTAATTTTCTACTACCCGCGATATTTCTAAATATTCAGTTGTTTTGATTGTTGCTGTTGATGATGATGATCACATGGTGAAGCTAGACGGAGCGACCGGATTCACTGTGCTGTTGAGCATGGACCAAAATTATTTAACAGGGCTCTCGTGCTTATTTACGCAATATTTTACTTATCTTTATCAATTGTTTCCGTTTGGCCACCAATTGTCTCATTTTCTACTAGCCGTTGTCGGTCCGATTCACATCTGTCTTTGTTTACACGCTGATTGAATGTTAGGTAGGCCAACCCATTGTGCACACATGTTGACCTCTTTCGGCAAAAACGGTGATCTTGCTGGATGGACGATACATCGGCGACTGGGTTACTCCCGAATCATTTTTAGATGTTAGATATGTGGTTTGAGTTTCCCTCAGTTTTCTTGCGCGACGCGCTGACTGCAATAAAATGCTTTTATTTTACATCTGCTTACAAGCTTTCACTTGTTACTGCTGCATGTTTACGAAAGAGTTCTGACTGAAGTCGGCAGCTTGAACTCATGCCACCCAACCTGATGTGCTCATAGTTGTGTTGTTAAACGGTATCAGTGTTGCTGCTCTCTATTGTCCTTATTACCTACTACAAGAGCCGGTATACTCTGTCTTACTGTTTGCAACATTTTCAGGTCTCAAACTTTCCACTCTTATGCCTGCCGAAATGTGTTCGCAGGTCCGCCAGCGTAGTATTGAAGAACTCTTCACTTTTGTGCTCAATAGCAAGGAGACTGACGGTATACCGACTGACTCTGGTTATTTGGACAAGCTGAGCACCGTAGAGTCAGAATCGCCGTTACAAACGAGCGCAAGTCAGTCTTCCAAAAGAGGTCCTCATGCTATCCCGAAACTTCCATCCACATCCAAGCGGAAGAAACTGAAAACGAGTACCCACAATACAACGGTAACTCAGTCCTTTCTTTTTTCCATTTCGAGCTTGGTTCATGTCTTCAGAATAGACCCTACCTTTTTCTGCTTGCTGATTGTTGGTAGTGTGATCCCGCATACAGCTTTGCGCGCTGCGTAAAGTGTCCACGCTAGCTGGTCCATGTCCTTCATATGCCTGCCCACCGGTTACCTTGTCGTGCATTGTTTACTGATACTGTACTCGGTTGGATGAAGTCTCAAAACCATTCGGTGACCAAGCGGCCGATCTTGATGATGGATGACGACTTTAGTTCTTCCATTTCAGAGATATCCTTTAATATAATGGTGCGTTCACGACAACGGTGCTTTTTGCATCTTATCCCTCATTGTCCATTTTTAGCTCTTCAATCCGATACGAACGGCATTTTTGTCGGTTTCTTTGGACATACCATCTCGTCCATTTTCTCACATTTTTCACATCTCTGACTGTTTTATGACTATGCGAGCCATGAGCACACTCGTCATGACTTTACGCTCTCTCAGAATCCATGTATGCTATGTCCCCGAAATACGCATGCAGGACAGCAACGTCATAAAGCATTTTCATTTGTCAGGCCCTGTCTCTATAATAGAGCCTGTATATTTGCGTTTCTGGCAATGTCGATTCAGCGACTCGTGGCATTAACGGTACCGGAGTCGATCTCAGCAGGCATTCAGGAGCTGCTCTCCTGAACCGGTTCGCTATGAACCGTCACATGTGTGCCACTCGACTTTGAGGCCGCAATAGAATTATTGAGCAACGGATGAAGACAACGTGCATTTGTGCCGTTACAGTGTGCCTTCTCACCGATTCAAAAAGGACAAAACTACCGACATCATGATTGTTGCAGGTTAAATGAATGCTTAAGTTGATCACTTATCGAAATCGCGCCATCGCCTATGACACCGTTTCAGGATTGTTGCTTTTGATCCACTGTCCACTGCTTTTCTCAGCGGCACCTTAATCACAACCTTTTTACCAGTAGTACGGCTTTCTTGAACGAACGTTCACATCGAGGTACATGGCGGTTAATGAACGGTATAGTTGCCCTGGACTCACCTTTGGCAATAGATGGTGTACATTGATGCGATAGTGGCAGTCGATCGTGATCACTTGTGTGGATTTCAACTACTCGTTTGTGCGCGCTTTCCCAGTACACATTCTTCCTGCTTCGGAAATTCTTGCTGATCAACGATATTCGCAAAACAGATGCGAAACTAACAGTTCTAATTACAGCACCAGCTATCATTAAGAACAGGTTGAACGAACTGAATGCAGACTGCGCATTGCATACAGTATTCGAGGCCGTTTATCCTGCGACCTTACGGTGTTTGAATACTGGGTAGATATCTAACGCTTCGAGTAAACCGAGTGAGGCACGAGGGTGGTTTGTTTGCGATACCCGTAACACTGAAACGTCATCTGATCGGCAGTCCTAGAGTCTATCGAGACTGTGGTCGAGTTGCAACTGCTCGTGATTTGAAAAGGCCTGTGCCATTGGGAACACCAGAGTGCTGCTCCTCCTACATATGGGTCCAAGAAGGGTTCACATCAGTGGAACATTATTTATCCTCAGTTACATCGGCTGGAACTCCGGGAGGAACACTTTGATGGGCGGAGCACTCGGCCCAATCTATCATACTTGTTAGTTGAGTTGCCTGAACCTACCTAGGTCGTTGCTTTAGCGGGTTGCACCATCGACCAGATCCGATATAAGCTAGTGTTGCTGGCTCGGAATAGACAATTGGCTCAAATGACCTTCTAACGTCTCTACTGAGGGACGATAGTTGTTCATTGGTGATGCCTGCGAGGTATACTTAGAAAGTGCTGTCTGACTGGAGGTTGTCCACCGTTATTTTCATCATCATCATCATTATACACGGTAGCTAGAGGTGGGGAACAACTCAGCTACTGTGCCGCAATACACAGAAAAAGGAAAAAAAATTGCAACTGGTGCGAGTTGGCTGAGATACCGGTAACGGATGGGCATCGTCCCGGTAAACTACAAGCCGGATACTGCGCGTCAAAAAATTACTACGCAAAATTATACAAGGCTAAATAATGAGGTCGTGGTTGGAGGGGTTGGACAAGGAAACTCATAGCACGAACGCCACTGAGGTCGGCTCCTAGCCATATCAACAAGTGTGTCCAACCAAACGTGTCCATCGTCTTTCGGACCCTAACCAGGGAGCCGAGACGCTCCAACCGAGGCCAGCTCAGAAGTGAGGGCCTACATTCCTCTCGACCAAATCATCGCTTGGCCACCCCTCCTCTTCTTCCATCCACACCCCCGGAGCACAAACAACGCACGTCGCGGGAGTCGGTGATCTGGCATGCGTAACACGTGGCCGAGCCATCGGAGCTTGGTGCTTGAAATGACGGTGCTGAGCGGTTCATTTCCGTTTCCTGTGCCGTAAACAAGGCGTCGAACACGCTCGGTGCTCACGCGGTGTTCCCACCAAATGTGAGCTAAATTACGAAGGCACCGGTGGTCGAACGTAACTAGCCTCTTCAGGTCCGCTGCTTTAAGCGGCCAGGTTTCACAACCGTACAGTAGGGTCGAACGTACTGCTGCATTGTACACTCTACTCTTCAGAGCAAAAGTGATGTCGCGCCGGCGCCATAAGTGGCGAAGGTTAGCAAAAGCGCCTCGAGCTTTTGCTATACAGTTCGTGATCTCATCCTCAATCCCACGGGCGCTGATACAACTTCCCAGGTAGTTGAATTTTTGAACGACTTCTAGCTGATCTCCACGAAGGGTCAGCGTAGGAGGCGGTCCAGACCAAGCTGGGAGGAACCCTTTGCACTTCGAGGGTGCGAAGCAAAGCCCGAAGTGACGGACAGCTAGTGCTAATCCGTCCAGTGCCGCTTGACACATTTGTGAGCTGTCACAGATTAGGGCAATATCATCAGCATACTCTAAGTCAAGAAGTCGTTCTCCTGAGAGCAGATCCACACCTTCAAAGTCGTGTCCTGTGAACGCCATTTCCATGACTTCGTCAACAGCGAAGTTGAAGGGGAAAGGTGACAGCGGGCATCCTTGTCTCACGCCGCTGAAGATATTAAAGGGCGATGACAACTTGCCGTAAGCCCTCACTCTGCCCGAGCTACGCGCGTGTAATGCTCGGATAATATTCACATATTTCTCAGGTACACGTTTCCTGAGTAGACAGTCCCAAAGTGCATGTCTATCCACCGAATCGAATGCACCTTTGATATCGAGGAACACGACAATGGTGGGTCGCCAATATATGTGACGGTGTTCCAACAACTGACGCAGGGTGAAGATGTGGTCAATGCAGCCACGACCTCGACGAAATCCAGCTTGCTCTTCACGAATCTGGCTTTCACGAGTGCCAGTTAGTCTGTGAAGGATGACAGAAACAAGCAATTTGGAGGCGATGGAGATCATACTGATTCCTCTATAGTTGCCGCATTCGGATCGTGAGCCTCCCTTAAAAATTGGGACTATGACGGAGTGGCTCAAATCGGTTGGGACAGTTTCCTGCTCTCACAGTTTCATTAGGAACTCGTGTAAATCATCCACAAGAGCAGGTCCCCCGAATTTGAAGAGGGCTGGAGGAATGTCATCAGGTCCCGCGGCTTTATTTAACTTCAACAGTCCGATCTCACGTTCCACTTCTGAGCGAGAGGGTGGATCCAAAGGTACAGCCCAGGGAGCGGAGCGATCAGTGGCCGGCGAGAAATCTAACCATTCCGACCGATTAAATTGCCTTTTAAAGTGCTCAGCTCAACGTTCCAAGCGTTATGACAAGTTGTGGATAGACTGTCCATTCTCGTCACGTATAGTTTCACTAACACCAGGTCTCCTGCTGCCCGTTTCCCGTATCAGAGAATAACCTACGATGGTTACCAAGGGCAGCGGTCATTTCCATCTCTGATGCACGATGAGACCATCAGGACTCGCGGTCTCTCTTCAGGCTAGCACAGAGCTTTACAAGGAGCTCTTTGCGAGTTTCATTGTGTTCGCTTCCAGCCGGAATATGCCGGCGAGCATCTATAAGTTCCAGAGACTGTGAAGAGACCCACTGTCCATGTTGGTGATTAGACATACCACATGAGGATTTTCCTGCTGCTAGTAAGGTCTAGTGAATATGAGACCAGTGAGCTTCAATTGCATCCAGTGAGCGTTTATCAAATTCGCATGACAGCGTACGTTGATGGGCTTTCAGAACAGCTGGTTTCGCCAGTTGGCTGGTGTCAATGCGCTACCGTTATTTTCACCTTTGTAGGAACCAAAAGATGTTCTAGGTAATGCACTATGATATCATTCTGATCCAAATTCCCTTCTAGCCACTGACGTCGGGTATATTGTGGTGTTACCATTGATCCTCCTTGGATCGAATCAGTGACATCCAGGTTGGCTTCCGCTTCAGCAGAACGTGCCTTCACCACACTTATACTCTTCGACACGTGCTTTATCTTTGCCATTTCTATGGACAGCACAGCATGATAGCCTTGAAGACTGTCCTTGATTCCGTTGATCTCGCCTGTCACTGGACACACCCGAATTTGAAGGGCGGGTCCGACGATTTCCCTTCTATTCCAAAATCTCCCAATCAAACTGGTACATCGTTTTTTTTAGCTTTATCTCTCGTTTAGTGCATGCGCGAGTTTACATTTAAATCGCGCGCTTGCTCGCATTTATTATCTACTCATGGGATGGATATTAGACCACTGCTCTTGACGAATGTCGATGCTCGATGAAAGAAATTTGCATCTTTTATTACATGTAGGACGCATTAATTCCTATTTTGGGCGTCATTTTTGGGTCTTCGTTGAATAAATGGATTGCGACACGCAATTTCCCTCAGCACCGTAACTCACTTCGAAGTGAACCTCGGTCAATTCATGTTCCACAGTAGTCCAGCTCTCAGCACTTTCAGTACACTATGATCTAAATACACAATTGGGGCGGATTCGGTTCTCTTCATGTATCTCATCAACAAATGCTGACACCAGTGTAATGACAACAATAGTTGATGAAAAATGTAAGTAAAATGTAGGCAAACGACACAGTGGACGCTGCATTCTTCGGATGGAATAGGTTGAGTCAGAAGTAAGGCGTGGAGGGAGGGTACCACTTGCTTCTCAGCCTTTTCACGTCCTCTTGAATCCATCTATTCAGACAGCACTGAATAACCCACTGTGCCGTTTAGTTGGTTGCTACTTTACGATCCCAACTGCTGTCCGCCTTAAATCTCCACAGAGCTAGACACAGTCATGGCAAACCACACAAGCCGACGCAGGTAGGTATTCAAGGACCGTGGCCCATCCATCGTAGGAGGCTCAAGTTCAAAATTCGATCTGATCCAACAACAGATGATTTGCTGACAGGCATCAATTGGCACTAGTTATTTGGTCCTTCTTCCGGACTTTATCTCGCAAGCACCAGTGCTCAAAGGTGACCAACTTCGGCACGCAGTGACTTTGTTCCCGACACAGTGGCACCGACTTCACCACTGTGTTGTATACCACTTTTGGCCAATAGGCTAAAACCAAGTCTTCTTCATACGCCTCCGAGACTCCTAAAGGGATTCATAGGTTTTCTTGACTATTTAACCACCAGATATGTTAAAAACTACCTGAACAGTCTGATAGTTCAACCACCTCAGTTGTCTACTCAGTACTATTGAGAACTGGTGCTGTATCGCCCTAATCATATTGTGACATTTCATACTCTAATGATGCGCGCCGCTCAAGCAGGCCAACGGAGTCTGACCCCAAGCAAGATAAATCCTCCACACATTTGAGGCTTATCAGTCGATTACGCGGTAGGACCTCGACCCCAGATGAAGCAGGGAAGACGAAGGTATCCATACGTTCTCCCATCACACTGTCGGAAGGAATAGGATAGTGTAAAATTTAGGCGCACATTACCCGCCATGGTTAGATAGAGGATAATTTCCAAAGACTGACACATGACTGGGAGTTGCAGCGCTGGGAACAAAGAGTACAAAGGGACTTCTGCGCTAAGTCGTGTAAAGAGTACCACAGAAAAACAACATTAAATGGTCGGAAGGCTAGTTTCAGGTCGATGAACATGCCCGTATGTCTGTATCTGTGGCTATGTTCTACCATCTGACACAGTGTAGACGCGTGATAAGTGCTCCCTTGTTCAGTTGGAGGCTAGGCTTGCTATAGTTCATATCACCTTTCCTGAGACCAGTGAACTTCTGTAAGAAGCCTAGAGACCATCAAAACAAAGCCAATACAATGCTTTCCTCATGAAGTTCGATGGTTTTTCCTGGGGACACTGATGATGATTGACAGCCGTCAATCTGAAAGTACATCCGTGTACCGTATTTTGTTGAACAGAGCAGCCGGTGATTGCAAATGGCTTGAAACATCAAGAGCTCAATGCTCGGCGTGGTGATGCAACGGCTTCACAAACTACCCGATTCCGTGATTAAATCAGCACATCAACTACTACGTTTATGGCCATTTATGCCGAACAGATTAGTTGTTGGAGGACAGTCAAACGTTTTCACCACATCCTGTTCATTAGAAGTTTGACGAAATCCATGGTTTACCCTTAGAATTTAGCCATGGTAAGGAACAGTTTACGGGTTTTGGGATCGGCGTGAATGGTGCACTTCGCGGGTGCCACGGTCTGCTTTTGATGATGGAAAGGCGCAACCCTTGACTACTTGTTTGTTGTCATTCGCCTCTAGATAAGCAGCCCCTGGCTAATGAGCTGTAATGTCGCTAGACCACACCTGTGGTAGATCGTAGTCTCAGGTGTACCTTCGAATATATACGTGGGTGCCTAGGGTCTGTGTGACTGGCTTTGCGCAGATCCTCATGTGCATGCGGTCACACTGCATCTGATCCTTCTACCTTGTGAAACAAACTGCTTACCCAACGGTTCTAAGTGACTTTAACTTATGCGCTGAAGCACCGAGCTGCTACGATGTGCGATGAGAGAGTGTCAAGTAACGAATGAAATTCCATCTAATCGCGCATTTCATATTACCATTAATAAACATCATAGTGTCGCCGTCTCTTCGCTTCCAGGTTTCTTCAAAACTAGCGATTTGGTGTACAATTCAGTTATAATCGTGTTAGGCTTCTTTCGCCAAAAGTGGAACCGGTTTTCCACCTTTGCAAATGTTAGACCAGAACGAGCCGTTTTCAATGTTATTAGTGTGTACCAGTTAGAAATTCACCATTCATCTGCACCTAGACATATATACCTTATAGTTATCGGCCCAAACATGGGGGAACTACATGTAGTGCACAGCTCTTCACTACGCATCAGCGCGGTAATCTCATTTTACAGCCACCATTGGAGGATTCGGTGACGTGGTTACTTTGGCCTCTTCAATTGACATTTGGGTGTGGTTAAGTCTTTTGTACTCACTTTGGCGATACATACGCTACAATTGGAACAATTCAGAGATGGTGGAACAAGATGAAGCCCTGGAGTTAACTAGATCGTGGGCAGTTCTGCGCTCGTTTTGCACCCATTCGTTTACCTGTGTTCGCCTCGTACTTTTCTAATTTTCATGAACTGCTGACAATTGCTCCTGTCCTTAGAGCTACCTAAACTGCTAATGTGCTTTTCACTGGTTGATCCGGAGGGATTTATTTGAACACTCTGTATCCCTACACTTATCTGGACCACACCTTTAATGGGTCGGACTGGTTGCTGTGGTCTTTCGGCTCGTGAGCACCGGTATCCATTATTTGTATCCGTACTACCCCATGCTCCCTCCAAACTCATTTGTGACACTCAAGTCTCCATCACAATGCAGTGCTATCTAGCGCTTTCCACACTCAGTAAGTGCCACATTTGTGTTCGTGTGTAATTCCTTGAAATGGACGCTTTTCCTTACGTGTTCCGCGCCTTTACTAAATTGCAGAGCTGTTATGGGCAATCACTCTCACTGTATTAGCAGCTCAGCACTTTGGTCTTATCCAGTTAGGGTGCCATCTTGGATACTGAGTGGATTTACGGAGCTCCTCACAGTTTCCACACCTGCATCCGGTTTGCACAAATACTACATAGCGTTTTCTCAGTGTTCGCCTCAGATGGCCGCTTTGTGTTTACTCTAATTTCCGCCGCCAGTCCTCTAAGAACCAATGACAATATCCTCTCATTGTAGCTTCTTTCTTGGACCCAACCAACCCCTGCTGCGCACGCTCCGAGCCCTGTTGATCAATCCACGGTTCCGACCCCGGACGCTGCTTCAACTTCGAGCATTTTTGTCAGTTGTCCTGTTTGTCACAAGGAAGTACCATCCGTTTCACTTGAACAGGTATTTTACCGTTTTCTTTCCTTCCTCTAGTCATATATACACGACTACCGATTTCAAAGTATCACAAGCTATAAGTAGACCGAGTCCCCGCTGTTTTGAAATTGATTCAGACTCATCTCTTTGTACTCACCGCCTAACTTCTCTCGTGCACCACATGCTCCTCTGTTTGAGCCACTCGATAGCCTGGATCACTTGTGTGCTATACTCTCCAGTACGTTTCTGTACAGCGAAGGTCGTAAACTGGGTCAAACACCTGAATACCTGTCATCTGTTGACCTATTGCAACACTTCACCCTATATTGTGCCATGAGGATGTTTCGAACTATGAAACAAACTTTTCGGGACTGCTATTTCCAGCATCTCTTGTAAAGCTAAGTTCATAAGTAAGATTTCCCGTCTGGCATTATTTTCAGCAGTAACACCACCAGTGAACCCTTCTCATAGACCATTTCTCAATTAATTGCATCCTCGATGCAATCGCTTTCCTCCTTGATGCAGCAGCTTTCCTCCGTAACCCAGAATGCTGGCCGATCGCGCTTCGCGACTGTATCTAGCCGCGTGTTGGAGCTCATAGCCAGCAGATACAGGTCACATTGCATACGTGCTATCAACAAACAAAGCGAATCGGGTGAGTTCACAGTTGACTTCGCCCGAACTACCTGTGTCCCGTGCGTCCAGAAACAGTGGCAACATCGCCTTGACCGATGAGATGACGGCCTGCGTCCAAATGGCTTGGTTTCACTATTCGGTTCAACGGTGTTCCGACGAAGCACTAACTCCGTGATACAAAAAGGGGTGTTGGCTTAGTGTTTGTTCCACAGTACTGCGTTGGAAGACAATGAACGTCATGTGTGAACTCACCCGATTGGCTTTGTTCCTTGATAGCACGTGTAACGCTCGTGTCCACTGCACCGGCAGCTGTCACCTGGACGGACGGACGAAGTGCAGAATCCTCAACGGCCGCACACCCAGGAGTACACGTAAGCACTACATGCCTTAACCGCTAGATCTCGGTCGTGCCACGTGCATTGGACCACACACGTGTCTGCACTTGGCTCCAATGTGGCCTGTCTCTGCTGACTATGAATCCCACCACGCGGCTGGACAGTCGCGAAGCGCGATCGGCCAGCATTGCACGGCACGACAACTGCAGGTGTGGAGTGGTATAAGCGCCATGTTGGCACCCCTATGCTACCTGCGTGCACAGTGTGGTGTTTGCGCACTTGACACGCCATTGGCTGATAGGGCTTGACCACTCACTGTGGTCCTGGATGCAATTTCGTTGGTTATCCAGTTATGTTCTGCTCTACGATGGAAAGCTGCTGCCTCAAAGAAAAGAGCGATTGTATCAAGGATATGATCAATTGAGAAACGGTATTGTGCCTCGTGATATTCACGGTGGTAAAGAGGAAGGAAGGAAAGGCATTAAGCAATCCCTCTTGGTCAGTGTGTCCACCTTGCGACTACCGCGTGGAGTGAAGGCGGGATTGACTCGACCACTGCCCCGAGTTTTACATTGAGTTACGCCACACGCAACATTAGTTTACCCCAACTCAACTCATGCTATTGCACGTTAAACAAGTAGTCCAGTTGGGAAACGATAACAAACGCACCACTGTTTTCCATTTCCTTGCCTTGTCTTGCCTTTCTAGGTGCACTCACGTGGATGGACCACTTTGGTCCCAGATTGAAAAGCGGGCGGATAAACGCCTCCTGCTTCAGTACTCATCGATGTCATTTTAAATTCCCAGACCAGTGATTATCCTTTCAAGCCTTACTAGATTAAACGTCCTTTAACTAATCCGGGTTCTCATCAATTTGCTATGAGTAGCATAGGTAGCACTTACTCGAACCGACGTAGCTCATTTACTCCTTGTTGTAGATTGACCAAACCAACAAACACATCATCGCCTAGTACTCGCTTGCGCAACTCATCACTTTGGGCACTGGTGTTATCGGGCCTTACAAGCAATGGTGGTCGAAGCTCACAGACTTGAAACAGCGAAAGGACCCCGTGGTACCCCACAGAACGTCGGGTATCTTGTACTTTTCTCTCTTATACTCAGCTTTGCTGACGTCATTATTTGAATAGTGTAATATCTCCGCTTAGCTACACTGCATCCATTTGTCAACTTATAGTTCAGGTGAGTAATTTTGGATTGGTTTGAATGCGACACAGTGCTTCCTTCAACGCCGAATAACCAGTCCCACATGCTTACAACTGCAACCGTCAGCCTCAGTAATTAGCTCTCCTTATGAATTAAGAAGCAACTATGCAACGGACCACTAATATCTTTCGACACCACATTGCTGCCCATTTTTAGCTCGCTATTATTTTACCACAGTGAACTCCATACTCAGGGCCTAAGTAAAAAGTAATTCTGTCGTGTCTTTGATTACAGCAATGGTTTCATCCACCTTACCCTGTCTGGGCGATCTTCATTGCCTCCAGGCCAATGTCGTTTACTCCAGTTTGGTCTTACTTGTCTTCAGCTACCGGGATGTATAATACGCTTTAGGCTGGCAAACGAATTGCATCAGTCTCTCTATCCTCGACATACCAAACTTTCCTCATCTCTATTTCCATCATAACAGTAGTAGTATCTTCATGTTACCCGCTCCCCCGAAGTTGTACCACGTACCTATTTTCGTCCTACTCTTTGAGTGGTGATTACATTGGATTCCTGAATCAGGCCAGTGTCGAGTCAAACATAATGCTTGTCGATGTTGGATGTTTGCATATTGTTAGTTGAGACCAAGACAAGTTCCGTTGTCGCGCATTCGTTTTTGTAACAGTTGGTTGAATACGCAGGTGATTATGGTCGATTCGCCACAGTGCGTGACCATGCCACTTATCTATCAAATTTCGACTTCCATTGAAACCATCATCCAGATAATAGCCAGAATTCGTGAAATGCAAACCATGGAACCGGCAACGCAGATATAGCCGACGGGACTGATAAACACCCTCCTAGTGGCCAACATAAACGGTACCTGCTTTAGTGTGGGTCCCCTTGTCTAATGAAGCACCCAACCCAATTTACTTTGGCAATTGAAATAATATAATTATATTGGTTGCACTCTAGACGAGGCATTGCTGCTGAATACTTGTAATCGTCATTTTCTCGCTTAAAGTACAGGTGTTCAACAGGAGTTTCTCGCTTGCAGTACAATCAGAGCATGAGTGCTGGAAATGAAGAAGCGGCATACAAAGCGTTCCAACCCCGCTGAAAATCTCGTGCAGGGCTTTCCCTTTATTACTTCGAAAATAACAAGAGGGAATAACTTTATACTAGCGTACACTGAATTCAGCTATTTCGGGTACCATCATCGCCTGTTTGCATACACTCCGTGAATTTATCACGTGGCATACAATAGAAAGTTAAAGCCAGGTTGATCTTAAACTCAGTCTGCTGAAGTCCTCGAGAATCATCCAGTTATTAACCGGCAGTGCAATGGCCGCCTGCTTCAGCTATTCGGCGGCTGAAACCCAATTAGTGCGAGGCGACTGCATTTCAGGCCAGTCTGGCGTTACTTTGGTGAGGTTATTGACAGTTTCTCTTGAAACTTAATGACCTTGCGCATTGCTTCATTTTGTACACAACGCGGTACTTCAACGGAATGTATACAAACAGCGAACGAGAACACCGGAAAATGTCCGATAATTCACGGACGAAAGTCACACTGTTGATAGTCTTGCGCGTGGGCCGTTGCAATGGATGTGGATTCTTAGGAAAATATTTCACCGCTACGTCTAACCGAGTGACTTGACTGTCAATTGATGGAGCGTCTAGAGCTAGAAAAGGAGCGGTGCGTTTTAATTTGGTAACGAACTATGATTAGATTAGTTCTAGCTGGAATTGACTTCGGGCTTTTACATTCGTCGTTTTGGAGATACCAGGCATCAAGCTTGATAATTGTGTATGTTGAGAGGATCCTCCGGTTACCGACTTAGCTGACTTTGATCGCTTTTTTTCGTCTACTAAACTACAATCTTGACTCGTCTGATGACAATTTGGTCACCTATTGGGAATTTGCGAAGCAATCTAACCATGTTTCGGAAATCAGGGTGATTGCTAGTGGTAAGCGACTGTTTTATTATTGCAAGACTTAGGTTAACTGAGCCATCTTCAAGATCGATAAGGGTCAAATGGTTGACGGGATTAAAGCCACTTTCTAATGATCCTGGAGAACTCTCTGTGTTCCGTTGAAAACACAGCACTGCTACATTAAACCTTCCCAACTAGATCGCTCATTTAGTTTCAATCACTACTGTTGTGAAAATTATGCGGGCTGTACCCACCAGTTTACAGGTTGGCTGAGCGCGGTTATCTCGAACGGAAAGTAAGTTAACTTCATGCACCTGTCAGACTTTTTGCCTCAGAAGCGTGCGTTTCACTCAGTGAATTTGGGCAGATGACAGCCTCACTTGTCAAACATGGAAATCCTATGTTCTCACAGCCACCTTCGAATAAAGTAAGTTTTGTCATCTACACATGGCCGATGGACATAGCACTGTTTGGGGTATCTAGTTTACAATGTTTAACATGCTACCCATTGTTACCTAAAGTTCGTGACTGCCTTCGTCCTCTGATCGACGCGAATCCATGTTGATATTCACCCCGTTACACTGTGTGGAGCCCTAAGCTAAGCGTCGTTTCCGACTAGCTCGCGAAATACAGCGGTATTCTTTGAACAATGAACTGCTACCAGACCGGGAAAACTCAGAAAGTTTTATAGGTTCGGAAACGTCATGCTTCTATACGATAGAGGCCTATGTATTTGCGCAGTTGTTGGTACCAGTTGTTCGCTTACGGTGTGGCAATGAAGTACCGAACTGCCCAATCCGGTCCTATCTCCGAAGCAATATCCAGTCATTACTACACACCTTGAGCATAGAATGGGAGGCAGCCGAGAGGCCCTCCTGCTTATACCCTCTAAGAGATGAGCTGAAGGCGAGGATCTTATTTTGCATGTTACTGCTTTTCACGACCACAAGAGTTCAGTCACAGTCATCGTCTCGCAGACAGCGCAGTAAAGTATTTTGTTGAGTACGAACCCAAGTGCTGCCATGTTGAGCGAACGCTTACTTTTAAGGGTGAGTATAGGTACAGTTGTAATCGCTACTGATACCCGCCCCCTCTCCCTCAAGAAAACATGCAACAAGGAGTGCTTATTCTTAGAGCGCGCTAAACAAACTAAATCGCTGCATAACTTTTGACCTGTGAGCGCGTTATCGGTCACCTCATGCCAACTGAGTTGTGAACCACGATCCTTGGCATTAACTGAAGTTGTACTACTTCTGATGTTTTAGTGAATATCGTTTTCTGCAACGAGGGGTGGCGTGTTTGTGTACGATGTTTGACGAATCTACCTTACAGAAGTATTGACTGGGATATGGGTCCTGATCTGGTTATTGGTTCTCCGCAAGGGAATTTTTCCATTTATCTATCAATGTTACGTGTCTCATAAGCATGAAGGAAATGGCAGCGTCATCTCACAAATCACAACTTCGTTTTCCTATTTATTCATTATGAAGGGAATTCCTTATTTCAAATTTCGGATCTGTCTCTGGGAGGACCGATGTTACAGTTCAGGTTAGGGCGAGCTAGAGGAATTACAAACCACGAATGCGGGACGGAAAATCCTGTCCACTGTGAGCCTGTTGCCCCCAAATTCTCAGGAGCTCTTGATTCAGCCTCACGTGACATTCAGTGCCATGTACTTCTATGACTTTGCTCTTCGTTCCATGTCGTGCACTTCATCCTAAGCGAACCTCCACTGATCTTCACCTCTGTTCCACGCGGGTATCGATTTATCGACTGCTACGCTACTTTGTTACCACGTGCTTGACCTGGAGTGTTTGACCAGCTCTTTTGTCCAGTGCTCCGCGCACGCGCATTACACGTACCCTGCCCAAGCACAGATATTGCCTCACTGTTCTAACGCGGGAAGCTTCTACCAACTAACTGTGATAGTGTAAACAGACCCAACGAATCCGTTGTTGAGGAGGGGAATATCGCTAAAGATGTGGGAATTCCGGTGACAATCTTTCTCCATTTGTCTTTATTTTCTTTACACATTCAAGGGATTTGAGTGGGGCAATACTCCAGGCGTAGCGTTACTGTGTCCTGTGGTTGTAGATCAACCATTTGGTTACAAACTGCTTTGTTCACCTGACTTTGCGGACTATTCCACGCTCTTGTACCTTGCTGTGCCGCTCACGACTAGGATAGGGCAATAAGCGGATTTCTGATCATTTGGATTGAAACTACGCATTGTTGAAGCATGTACTGTTTTGACTTTTTATTTTGTTCCCAATTGGCACCGCTTCTCGTTTCCGGGTTTGCTACTTGAATTGCCACAGATGAAAACGCGTCGCTCCACCTTTCCAATTGGATCTGGTCCTTCGAACACCAATCTGCTTAACCTCTCTAAGTCCTTGGAACTATCCCACTACTAACCGTTGCGCAGCTTCACGTCGGTTGGTGTGGTGCGCATATTATGACAACGGCCTTATTCCGTAATTCACTTTCACATGGACCATATGGCTACAAATTGATCGGAACATTGTGGCCCACTGATATATAACCTTTTTCGCATAATCTAATTCTCTGCTTCTGACGTATGATTTAAATGAAGTTTTTTATGATGCTATTGTTTTTGAGACGTCACACTCGTCTTCGGTATTCTTTAACACAGTCGTAGTGATGTATTTCTCCGTAGCTATCGCCTTTCCCAATCCTTATTTTCTATCCTTTTAGTTCAACTTTCATTTGGACGAGTGTCTGAGCCAAGCAACCATCACCGAGGTGATTCGTGAAACTTCACAGCCCTCTTCTCCTGCTACCCATTGGACTCAAGAGCAGTCACCCTCTACCCGGAAAGACGAACTTTTGCAATCAACATCACTACTTCACACCTGGTTAGTTCACGCCACTACCCTCTTCTCAGACCACTCTTTTTGTTTCATAGATCGGTTAGTTTACCAGGGGCTATCTACCTTTATCAAATTAAGTGATCTGCTTCCAAAATTCTCTTCTGATAGTGCATCGCTAATTTGTTTTCCCAGTGTTCCAAGTCTGAATGTGTTTCTAACCCACTTAATTAACTTGTCTGCACTTTCTATTCTGTAGCTCGAAAAAGAAAAGTGACACCTCGAGATCTTCCACATCGCCTACCAGAGGACCTCTTGATAGATTTGTTGTACATTGACCCGTTTTTATCGCGCCTCTTCCCCACGATTTCTCAACGAAAACTGTACATTTGTTGTATCATTTACCCCGGGGGAATGCTGTATTGCTTTGTATCATATTGCGAGTGGTACTTAGCGTTAAAACCGCACGCTGCACACAGTTCCACAATGCATTTAAAATCGGACCACCACTTCACTGTAGCCCCGTCTCCAAGCACTTGTACTACTCAGAAACCCCCAGTCTCTGTCTACAGTTATGTGAGCACCACTCCATGATACAGCACAATATCATGTATTTTGCCACTTGCTTTCCGTCACCATACATGTTTTTCGAGCATTTGATTGTTTAAATGTGACCCACGAACCTTCAGTTTCCTGGGTTACTTGCAACTCAGATCGAGAAAGGAGCATACAAGTATTTTAGACCAAATCCGGTTTCGCGTACATCGGTAATAAGTCATAATTGGAGTTGATAAAACTGAATAATTCTTCCTCGACCATCTCACTGTAGCCGTCCTCGGTATACAACGTCTTCAGTCGTTCCATATCTTCTTGCTTTATCTGAAATGTATACACGTGGTCACACCGATCAGAATGGATAGAATGAGTTGAGCAACTTTTACTTTGATAATGCACGGTTCCCCTGAACTGGCCGAGCATTAGTGGGTAGCCTTAATCCTGTCTTCGACTCACTACTTTAACTCCTGACCACAAGGAACAGCCATGCTGCTCCGTACTAGCAACCCTTTCCAACCAGCTCGAGTCTGCAGACGTAGAATGCATTAACCCCTTGTCATTAGGCTGTTCTACGGTAGGTTCCTTCTACAGCATGCGCTTGCTGCTGTTAGTTGTCACAGAAAGCTCCATTACAGAACAATCCCATCACTTCGTAGCTATATGTGAATTTGACCGATTACGTCAGGGTTGTATAGACCCGCTCGGTCTTGTACATTTTTCATTCTTTTTGCGTCTTTCTCAACACATAATCAACCGGAAAGCAACGGACAGATCATTTGAGCTTGAGCTTCAATGGGTGCCGTGCGTATTCGTCATTCAATAACTGTTCGATCACACACCAGTACACAGCATACATTTTAATCCGTTGGTCACCATTTCGAATCTGCGTAGGCGCAAGCGTCCTTATAGCTTACCCAACCCACTCGCAGCGTCAATGTTTTGTGCGTAGTGCCGAGTGATATGTCTTGCGTGCGCTGCTGGTCCCCCTTTCTCGCATCAAAGTCATTTGCGACCAGTAAATTCACTTGGTAATTAACTTCCAGGATGACCACAGTTCAGCACAATTGCTCGAACTGAGTGGCACACTTGACATCCGAAAATCCCTTACTCGCCTACATCTTCCGTTTAGTTTAGCCTAACTCGTTTAGTGTGCCCGCTCATGTTGATCTACCAACTCAGGTACCTTAACGAAACGCCTGATACGAATACCGGTTGACTCTATATCATTTTACACGCATATTAGCGTATTCTACCAAGCTTTTAGCGTGGTTCATTTTCGAAATCGCGTGCGGTACTTTCAAGTTAGCGAGGCTGAGAACGCTGATTTGGCGTCCTTGACACTCTCATTGGTTATGGGACGTAAACCAATGGGACACCGGTTAGAAGCTGCCAGCATAACCGACAGTCAGTCCAATGAAAGTGGTCGAGCACCACCTTCCGTTCTGCCCTGATGCCAATCTGGAGTAAACCTCGATGATTGGTCTCCAACCTGAAACCGACCAATAAGTAAATTGTGATGCGTGTCAAAGGAGGAGATGCTAGCTACCACACTATTCAAAGCTTAGGACTTAACCAGTGTGGATAGACATACTAACCAGCACATGTAGCGGTCTATGGCGATCACTGGCGGCTACCTAATGGTGGCTTATTCAGCGGCCTAACCATGGTGGCGTAGACAGGCAACCATCTAACTCGTATTCCACAGTACAGCAATGGCTGCTATGCGGTTAGACAATTGTGGGCGAATGTCATTGCAACGATCATGGGGGACATAGTTCTCACAGAAGTTAGTAGACCAACCTGAAGCTGAACAACGACAATTCTAAGGTTGCTTAATTCGATCACAGTTGACGACTCAACAACAAATGATAGGATTGCAATTGTGGCGTTGACACGACGTCAGTGAGTGTTCGTTTGTCTCCATACCCATGGGCGAAACGTTAATCAGTTGTAGCTTCAGTGTCTCCATGTACTGCGTTATGCAAAGGTCATAGGAACCTATGAATTCTTAGGATAGTTAGGTTTCACTTCCATATGGTCGCCCATGGTGACGTAGACAGAGAATAATCTCACTGGTATTCCGCAGTTCAGCAATGGCTGCTAGGTTGTTGTACAATTTTGTGCGACTGTTATTGCGACGATCATGGGGACATAGTTCCCACAGAAGTTAGTAGACCAACCTGAAGCTGAACAACGACAATTCTAAGGTTGCTTAATTCGATCACAGTTGACGACTCAACAACAAATGATAGGATTGCAATTGTGGCGTTGACACGACGTCAGTGAGTGTTCGTTTGTCTCCTAACCCATGCGAGACTTTGTTAGTCAGTCACCACTTCAGTGCCTACATGTATCGCGTTATATAATGGTCATAGGAACCTATGTATTCTTAGGATAATTAGGCTTCACTTCCATATGATCGCCCATACGTGTTGAGACGCTTTAACAAGTGGCTCTCCAAATGGAACCATCAGAAGCACAGTCAATGTAGATGGAACCTCCCTATTACGTCAATGGACTGGCATGCTGTCCTCATGAAATCGGCATTACTCAACAAAGTAACATTAAAGGGGCTACACTGACTACGGTGTTTTTACATGCCACATCGTCCTGCTAGAAAGAACGCAAGACTTATGATTAGTGGCGACGCAGGCATTTTACTCTGGTACTTCAGATGAGTACTTGGAACAGATAAACCCTGTAGTCTCACCCATGGGCGTTCCTACAATGTGTTTGCAATCATTTACAAAGGCAACCGCGCTCACTAAGCCTGCTATGGATCACTGTTTCAGCTAGTCTTAGAAGCATTCATGTATGCACGCCATGATACAGGTTGTTAGCAACTTGGCAACTACTGGGATACATTTTGTCATTGGAAAGTAGGTAATTCCGGAGACATTGTTGAAGGAGGAAAATTTCTCCAAACTCTATGCTTACTATGCGTATTCAATGCTCGTAGGCACCTCATATCAGGGCCGTAGGATCACTTGAGATTTAAAGCTTATCAATCACTTGGAAGTGAAGGGTAAATATCATGTTGAAACGCAGGATTGACATGCATCTTACGACCTTAACATAACGGCAGGACCATGGGTCCTGTAGCGGTAACTGATTACCGAAGTGGCCCACAGGTGTGGAGACGAACGAACACTCACTAATGTCGTGTCACCGCCACACTTGGAACCCTCCTCTTTGGAAGAATGGCTACAGATCCACTGATGATCTTACCTACACAGCGAACTTGATCTTAGTACACAATGTGCCGACTACATAAGCGATACCTATCTACGCTATTCACATGAGTGTACGGCCAACTGAACTAACACAGCACGAGAAATTTGTAGCTGTAAAGCTTTTCAAAAATTTTATTTGCCAAGTTCTAGCTTTACCTCCTTCATACGAATTATTGCATTGTTTCCGATTACCTCACACTGCCTTAACAATCACACGCACATCCTAAGCGTAGTCGCACACCTATCGATTCTCCAGATTGCTCGCAGTGGCACGATTACACTATGCATACCGCATCGCGTGTGGGCAGATAGGCTAGCGAGCAAGGTAGGCAACTTGCATTCATCCCGTAAGCCTACAAAGGTTCCCTTCCAACAGGGTTGCAGCCAATCCGCTTCCTATCACTACTCAATTAGTTGTCATCACGCTCGTGTAAACCTTCAAGGCTCCTCTTACAACACGCTGCAAACGTTACAACCTCAAAAAAGCCACCAATCCGCTTCTTATTAGCACTCACAGATTTCCTCTCGCCCCCGTGCTAGTGCTAGCTCCTTACGCCAGATTGGCAGCATGACCAATCACGTACTATGTCTCCCATTGGCTTATCATCCTCGACACGACGACGAAACCGCTGGTGTACCAGTACTATCGATCACTTGCTGTAATGTTACCGGTTCTTTGGCCTAGTAAACTCCTCGTGTGATCTGGACCACATTGGTCCGCTGCGTATCACGCGATGCACTTTGAGGTCGAGTCTGTGGTCACACCAACGGAAAGATTAACAAGTGTGACACTGTGCGCGTGCAGTCGTATGGACGCTTTCTATCATGTCGATTGGACGGTCTGAATCCAGAGAGAACGCCTCGGCTTTCCTTCAGGCGCGCATTGGTGCGGCACAGGATTTGCTGGTACTTTTAAACAAGAGCATATTTTGGAATGACTGTTTTGTTTAAAACTACATACAGGCTGGTAGTGGGCTTGCAACTTCTCTGTACCATTCACTCCGTTTGTCGGTCGCTTGTCTGTTGATCGCAATCGGTGTATCAGCCCACTTCAATTGTGTCAAGGTTGATCAGCCAATGGGAGACATAGTACGTGATTGGTCATGCTGCCAATCTGGCGTAAGGAGCTAGCACTAGCACGGGGGCGAGAGGAAATCTGTGAGTGCTAATAAGAAGCGGATTGGTGGCTTTTTTGAGGTTGTAACGTTTGCAGCGTGTTGTAAGAGGAGCCTTGAAGGTTTACACGAGCGTGATGACAACTAATTGAGTAGTGATAGGAAGCGGATTGGCTGCAACCCTGTTGGAAGGGAACCTTTGTAGGCTTACGGGATGAATGCAAGTTGCCTACCTTGCTCGCTAGCCTATCTGCCCACACGCGATGCGGTATGCATAGTGTAATCGTGCCACTGCGAGCAATCTGGAGAATCGATAGGTGTGCGACTACGCTTAGGATGTGCGTGTGATTGTTAAGGCAGTGTGAGGTAATCGGAAACAATGCAATAATTCGTATGAAGGAGGTAAAGCTAGAACTTGGCAAATAAAATTTTTGAAAAGCTTTACAGCTACAAATTTCTCGTGCTGTGTTAGTTCAGTTGGCCGTACACTCATGTGAATAGCGTAGATAGGTATCGCTTATGTAGTCGGCACATTGTGTACTAAGATCAAGTTCGCTGTGTAGGTAAGATCATCAGTGGATCTGTAGCCATTCTTCCAAAGAGGAGGGTTCCAAGTGTGGCGGTGACACGACATTAGTGAGTGTTCGTTCGTCTCCACACCTGTGGGCCACTTCGGTAATCAGTTACCGCTACAGGACCCATGGTCCTGCCGTTATGTTAAGGTCGTAAGATGCATGTCAATCCTGCGTTTCAACATGATATTTACCCTTCACTTCCAAGTGATTGACAAGCTTTAAATCTCAAGTGATCCTACGGCCCTGATATGAGGTGCCTACGAGCATTGAATACGCATAGTAAGCATAGAGTTTGGAGAAATTTTCCTCCTTCAACAATGTCTCCGGAATTACCTACTTTCCAATGACAAAATGTATCCCAATAGTTGCCAAGTCGCTAACAACCTGTGTCATGGCGTGCA